TTTATAGTCATGTTCCCAAAAGAATCTCGAAACCATCAATTTATATCAATTTATAGTCATGTTCCCAAAAGAATCTAGAAAGCATCAATTTTCATCATTTTATAGTTATGTTCCCAAAAGAATCTAGAAACCATCAATTTTCATCATTTTATATTCATGTTCCCAAAAGAATCTAGAAAGCATCAATTTTCATCATTTTATAGTTATGTTCCCAAAAGAATCTAGAAAGCATCAATTTTCATCATTTTACAGTCATGTTCCCAAAAGAATCTCGAAACCATCAATTTTCATCATTTTATAGTCATGTTCCCAAAAGAATCTCGAAACCATCACTTTATATCAATTTATAGTCATGTTCCCAAAAGAATCTAGAAAGCATCAATTTTCATCATTTTCCCACATGAAATCTGCGGGCGTTGAGGCACAGTGGCGCAGCTGCTTGGGGTGCATGGCCAGTGGCAGCCGCTGCAGGAGATCTTTGGGAATCTGGAACGGCGCCAAGCACTGGGCGGCTGGTGGAATGCCAAGGCGAAGGGGAAGGGATGGGGTTGGGATATGGTGGGTAAATGATGGTAAATGATGGGATATGGTAGTTGGAAAGAAACCTGGGATGAAGTGGAAATGATTGAAATGCTGGGCCGCTGCTGTCAAATTCCGGAGAAACGTAGCCAGGGGGTGAAACCCATGATAATGACTTCAAACTGGTGACTTGATTCACGCAGGTAGTTTGGAGAAGGAAGTACCCTCTGGTGAACTAACATAGCTATTGAAAATGGCCCATTTATAGTGGATTTACCCATTAAAAATGGTGATTTTCCCTGGCTATGTTAGTTTACCAGAGGGTAATTTGTTAGTTACTCAAACGTGCCGGTTGACACAAACTTCTTCGGCGGGTGTTTCGTTCAATAGATTTTCCTCGGGATTTGGCAAGATAATTATTGATATATTTTCTATTTGGTCAATGCCACCATATGCATACCCTCTGGTAATTTAACATAGCTATTGAAAATGGCCATTTATAGTGGATTTTCCCATTAAAAATGGTGATTTTCCATAGCTATGTTAAAATACCAGAGGGTATTAGCCATACAGCATACAGTATGCACTTCAAATTCTCGATTGAGCCTATCCAATCTAGACCCTCAAGTTGAAATCATCCCGAGGCAATACCCATCATCACACTAAAAGACAACGCTTTCACGAACTCCAAAAAAAAACGGTTGTGGCAGTTGTGGTAACATATTTGTTTCCAAGAGAACAACGGTCACCTTTAATTTTGTGGTAAAGCATGGTAAAGCCATAAAAAATTATCATCCCCATCACCAAACTGCCAGGTCCTGGACGAGCAACGGCAGCAGAGGACTGAGGAGCTCAGTGCGGCCATTTGCTCAGCGTGACTTGACATCGGAGGGGTCTGAAGGCGATGGAGAGGGAGATACAAAATGCATGATTAACATCTATTAACTGCAGATTAGAGATATATGTGGCACACGCTGCTGAGATAATGGAATATGTTACTGAGATAATGAATATTCTTACGTTATCATGACATTGGTCAAAATGAGTTAGAATGACCGCTGAAAGCAGCCCCCGCGACAAGACAGTTGAAATCTATGCCTTCAATCATGTTAATGTGCTGTGTATCTCGCTAGCCGTTGCCCACAGGCGGTGGCAAGATGCATTGAGCCTATGGCAAGAAATGAAATCCGAGACTTGCATTGCAAGCTTGAACTCCCTTTGGCTTTGAATGCCAAGCATGATCACAGGGACATCTACAATTGATGGGTGAACTGCATTTGGGATCGTTTGGGTGGATTAATGTCTTCTTTTAAAAATATGTTAGTTAATGTTTGGAATGGAACCCCACAAATTTGCTTTGGAAGCTGACTTTCTGCTGAAGAGTTATATAAATATGCGTAAATCAGGTTTTCTCAGTGAACTTTCCTTGCAGACGGACCATGTTTACCAATTTCGCTATAGGTTACTTGTTGGTTTGTTGGAACATGGGATACATATGGATACATCAATTTTCCATGGTTCCTAAGAATGTTTACCAGCATGTTCCCTAGAAACACATTGCCAGTGTCATTCATTTTCGTGGGATTTTCAGGAGAGGCTGGAGCCTCAGCCGCGGGTCTTTGCTCCCTTGCTGACAGCCAGTTGTGCAACCCTTCGTTTTCTCTACATCCTTCGTCTCACTAGTCTTATCCTTCTTGGATTCCTTCACCTTTGCCTTCTCTGCATCCATCATCTTCGTGGTCCCATCCTCCTTGGATGTTGTTGCCTTCATCTTCTCTACATTCTTCGTCCCAGTGGTCTCATTCTTCGTTGTGCTCCTAAGTTTCTCTTTTGGTCCTGTTGTCTTCACAAGGTCTGTGGAACTTGCTGCACCAGGACTTGGACCATCCCTTTCCTTTCTACTTTTTGACTGCTTCTCAACTTGGGCAGCCTTTGTCTTAGCCATCAGTCCTATGAGGGATTGGTGAGAACTGCCATAAGTAAGCTAGTGGGGTTTACTTATGTTCAAACTGGTATTGCCATGGTTAAAATCGTATTTGTGGAGGAAAATTTGAAGGATTATATAAGGTGAACATAGTTGAACATATTTTTGCAACTTTGGGTCCTCAAACGGCAACTGACAGAGTTCCACCAAAATGAAACTGACCCAATTTTGAGCACTAAATCGACACGCAACTGACACGCATCACCTTCGATATATGAAGTGACCCTTTTGATGTTTAAGTGACCTTTTTGATGTTTAAGTGACCCTTTGAACTATCTAAGTGACCCTTTTGATATATACAAGTGACCCTTTGAGGTATGGTCAAATTTCCAACTGACACGCGAATGACACGCATTGACACGCACTATTTGGCCATAAAAATAGAAAAAAACAAAACCATTTGAACCAGTCAATTTGCAGAGGCATTGGCAAATGGCCCCCCAGATCTCAGTTGGGTTGGTGCTGCTGGCAAGATGCTATGTTTTTTTTTACCCCAAAGCTTGTCATGTAGATCTGTGTCAACAACACAGGCCATATCGTATTGAACTCCGTATGGAGCTGAACATCTAATTGTAAGGATTTACCAGGCCAGCTAACATCTCTCAGGCTCATCATCGCTATCTTCGCATCGGCAGTCATGGCTCACCATGAGTAATGTGTTGTACTCCTGCCTGAGATGAACAGGCAGGGAAGTAGTAGGAACTATGGGTTGATATTTGATGATCCAACTATTGCAAATTTGATTTATGTGGGACCTCATATGCCTTAAACATGTTATGGTGACTCTCCTTCTGGGACCCCCACTCTGACAGATAGGCACGTAGTTGAGGAGCCCAACAGCTAAGACAAATTCGCTCTTGGGAGATGCGCATCAGGAACTCCAGCCATTGCTCACGGGTCATTTGGGAAGCTGGCATACTAAGAACACAAAACAAGCAATGAGCTGCTAATGGCTCCAATGTTGATATTTTGAACCCCCAACGATCGACAACCACTAGTTCAGCATTTCTTTTTGGGCACTTCCATTGGTCGAAATGTTGGATAACCCCTTTGATCAGCAATAATTCCCCCATCCTTTGGAATCAACCAAGCCCCCCTCAAGAATCCCAGACAATTGGCATTATAATATGCACCCCCAAAGTCAAACAATAACATACTTTTGAGGGTAACAGTGCCAGTGTACCCTGCCATTGCGTAGATTTTGATCACTCCGGAGATCGCCAGTGGCACTTGTCACGACCCAAAAGGAAATCGTCAAGACATCCCTGATCATCTTCATGAGGATCTTGAGGGGAAATTGAAATGTCCTGGCAAAGTCTAGCCAGGCAGGCAAACCAATGATGTTTTCCCGTGTGTTGGTAAATTAAAGGGCTAAGCCAGGGATATCATAATTCCATTGATGCCTTACCCCCATACAAAAACGTAATATTGCTTGGAATAGTGAATGCCATTGGACCCATCGACATTTTTTTTCAAATGATTATGTGAGAGTCATGGGGTTCCCAAACCACACACAAAAAAATAATATAAACGATAACCCTTCTCCGGGGATGGTTCTGGTTCTCCAGTTGGATGGAAAAGGGCTGCAAGAGCTAGTCCAAATTGCAGTGGGTATTCCCCAGATCGTTTTAGTGACTTCGGCTTTCCGTTGACCTTCTTCTTGCCACTGCTGTCAACAGTGACGGTGACCAAAGCTTTCTTTCCATGGATCCTGCAAGGCGAGCATGACCAAACAGTGAAGCATAAACATCAGATGGAAGAGCGGCTACAGGGTTAAGGTTGGCTGCCAGGGATGTTATGTCCTGACACTAGTTGTCACTACATTGGACGAGGCCCCTAAGTGCCACGATATCCTGAATGCTACTGCTGTGGCAAGAGCGAGCACCTACACACAGAATTGCCCACTGGTCGACATGACCTGCTCCCTATGCGGGATTGAGGGGCACATGGAAGATCATCGAGTTTCAGAACACAACCGATGGACATCGGAAACCTTGTGGAACATGCATGTGCTCATCCACACCTGGATTCCCACCCTCATAGCCCAGTAATTAATCATAACCCATTCATTGTCGAAAGTGCCCACTCCTTTCCAGGGCAGCTTTGAGCATCTTCACATTCAGAGGCCGGTAGAGGGAGTGCAGGTTGCCCAGGGTCCCATACAACCTGACGTTCAGCTGGGCACACTATTTGCACACTAATTATATATAATATGCTAAGGGTTGTGGGTGGTAGCTCAACAGTTGATATGGCACATTGCCTACATATATAGTCTCCCCTCAAAAAAAGTATATTGGTAGGACTATTGCATGTAGGGTCCTTCACCCGATGGATTGGGTTTAAGCTGAGGCACACTGTTGGTTTCAACGTTGGAGATCCGAAGTCCCCCATGTTGAATGCCACCCTCCTGGGAATGGCTGGTAGGATAGATTATCTTTTAAAAGCCAATTGGTATCACCAATGCTACAACAAGACTTGCAACAACTTGGGTTGTACGCTACCATGTATGCCATAAGTCGCATGATTCCATGTTGAGTTCGCAGGCACTGGCCAAGAGGAAGCTATAGCATTCTGTCCTGCACCCAGCCCAATGGAGGAATTTGCGGACAGGTCGCCACATCCACATGACCTGGGCACATAACAGATTACCCATGGATTATTTTTTTAGCTGTCCAACTATGCTTTACATGTTTTATTCACACCTCAAACATATATTGATTATTTGCAATTGCTATAGATGGTTTCCCCTAAAAAGACGATATATTGAGACAAGGTACTGATGACTGCGGCTGTTCGATGAGAATCTTCACATTGCGCTTCACAGCATAGAACAATCTGAGTTGAGCGCATGTGTGGGGACATCAGATGTGGATATTGTGTTTGAAAGAATAGTCTCAAATATTTGACCCATCACTTCGAACATCGTAGATGTTGGTGAGTTTGATCATTCAGAAGAAAGACAAACTATTATAAATAATACAAATTTGTCAGCAAGAAACATATATATAAGTCGTAGAACCAAGATGTTGGCAAGTTCAACACATCGTTGGGAATTGCCACCAGGGTTGCTCCAAGAGCGGCCTGTCACCGCAGAGCAGAGAAACACCCAAGTTGCGCAAGGTGGTGCTACCATCAGTAGCCCCCCTGGGCGCGTGTTCCGTACCTAGGGAGGCTGTGCACATGCATAAGGTTTGCTCTACATTGGGTGAGATAAAGGGATATACTGCCTTAAGGAATACATATTCTAGACAAAGGGATACACATTCTACAAAGGGATTATATGTTACCCTTCATCACAACGGACATGACTGAGATACTGCAAGCAAGATGCAGCCATGAGGACCGTGACAAAGCCGACGGTGCGTAACAGATTGTGGTTTCCACTGTAAAGGACCTAACATCACGGTTGCATATGGTTCTTGAACCCGAACATGTGCATACGGGGAAACGCAGGGTTCAGCATATGATCAAAAAACAAGATGGATTTGTTGAAGGTGTTTTGGAATCCAATTGATTATCAAGTACTGTATACTGTAGATTGACTTTGGTGATCCATATCCCAATAGTGGTTGGATCGAACTAAGGTAGCTTAAAATATATGCATAGCCATCCATAGTTCAATACTAGTGGGATCAAATTAACATATGTATGCTAGTGGGATCGAATTATTTTACATATATTGAATGGGGTCACCCCTAGTTCAATACTGGTGGGATGGAATGTATAGTATATTGAATGGGGTCACCCATAGTTCAATACTAGTGGAATCGAATTAACATGAGTTAATATATATATCATATACTACGAGTACTAGTGAGATCTACATTGAATGGGGTCACCTATAGTTCAATACTGATGGTATCGGATTAACACAAAGATAATGGGCCAGGTCACTAATAGTTCAATACTAGTGGGATCGAATTAGGATATGCAAACATTGAATGGGGTCACCCATAGCTCAATACTGGCAGGCTCGAATCTATAGTATATTATACATTGAAAATGGTCACCAACAGCCATATCCCAGCATGTTTCCAGGGCACGTCAAATTCCTTTCCTTGGAATCCGCTCATCCTCAGGCCCTTTGACAGAGCCGCTTTTCCACTGCAGATCTCTACCTGAGGAGTCGGCTGGTGAAGGGGCGTGGAAAGTTGGATTGGTGGAATGATAAATCTTGAAACAAAATCCTGAAGCCTATAGGTCTCCACAATTGGTTAACCCAATCGATCAACTTAGAGTTTTCTACTGGCCACATATGCAATATATGCAAGCATGGTACGAAATCATTTGGAACTTCAGGCAACGGCATTTGGCCCAGCAAGAGCAGGATTGGAAGAAGGTTCCGTGCCCTCATGTTTCACCCAGGTGCCAAAAAGCAAAGGGTTTGGTCTACAGTCTACGGAAATTTGAGCCACCACCTCACAGATGTGGTTTTTTCTTCCAAGAAACCATTTGATCTCAAAGTGATTTCCACTGGTGTGCACGTGCTGAAATAGGTCTTACTGCCATAGGCTACAAACAATGCAACCACTGCAGCCCAGCACTGTTTTTTTTTCATGAGCCCCACTACAGATTTGGGTCAAATGCTACGATGTATACCGACAGAATTGCCAGTTACCACCATTTGAAGATACTGCCATTCGAAAATGCAACATGGCACCACGCTTGGGAACTTAGAGAAATTTATGGGGAAACAGACAAGTGCACTTATATGTTAACTATCGCGGCTGCCATGTTGCAAAGCACCCAGCTGTGATTTCACATAGCCAGGTCCAACCCCTGAGAAAAACCTGTACTTCATGGGACCATGGGAGGCTTCATTCAACCAACACTTGAAAGATACTTTTTTGAAACATTTGTGTTGCTAATATATTGTAAGTTTGTCTTGGGTGGAGCACCAACAAAGTTACAGCCAGGACCCAATTTACTTCTTCTTCCTCATATTCCCAGCTTTCTTGCGACGGGTCGTTCGGCCATCATGTTCTGCACTAGCCTGGAACCCATTCTTACAAGCCTGGGTCAGGGAATAGTACTTTGTACCATCCGGACTGATGTAAACCTTATAGTTTTGTCCTTTCATTTTCCCACTCATGCGTCGTCTGGTCTCAATTTTCCAACCATCCTGCGCATCAGCTAACTCGATAACTTCGAATTTCCTTAGCTCTACTACAGATGTCTGATGAACAAACAACAATAAACAGAAACAACCCTGTGACTTATGGCATTTTGAATTGTTTGTGGACCATTGTTGCAGACCAAGGCTCATTGATTTGCCTTTTGTTTTTTTTGAATTTATAAGTGCTAGCTGATCAGCAGGGCATGGAACTGGTGCATTTGCCACATCCAATGCTGTTTGTTGAACCCTTGCTATAGTAACCTTGAATGATGAGTATGCGAAGTCCTTCGCATCCACCACATCCACGAGCGACTTGTCAAGGTCCTAGCCATCGGAAGTAAAACCATATACCCCATATCCATCAATATCACACTATATCCCAGCCTCAGTTATCAGATAGCCTAGTGCTATAATTTTCAATATCATATATTGACATGTGTGGTTTCTCACCATTTGCATTCCACCCGTAAACACCAGGAGTTTCGATCCTTTGGAGCAGCTTTCTTCGGACCTTTCCCAGGCTTGGTCGGTTTGGTCTCCTCCTTGTCAGGGGTCAAGCTTCCTTGGCAAGCGGATGGGTTTGTGTGTTTATAACTTTGGCCTTCAAAGTGAACATGCTGGTATGTTCTCAAATAACGGGATGAGATGACCTTGAACAAAAGTTATTCAATTGAATCTATGCATACCATATACACTTGAAGTATCTTATTGTAGGAACAAACCCATGGCACGATCGCTAGAAATAGTTTGGTGGGAATGAACACTATGCCAACAAGAATCTGGCACTTTTGGTTCGATGACGATGCCTTGGGGCCTTTGGCGATTCACCTCCATCTTTCGATTTCTCTTCACCTTTCTTCAACTCATTCGCTTTCTTTTTCTTCTTTCCCTGTTGTTCATGTCGACCATTCTTTTCTTTCTCTGGTGGGTCCTCAGTCTTGTTGCCATCAGTTTCGGCATCAGTACGACAAGTGTTCTCCAACTTCAGTTGTTTTTGTATTTTGATTGCAGTAAGTCTCGCTTCCTGGCTTGAGAGGTTAGCTGGTATCTCAAACCTTGACCCTGGTGTGGTCCATCGTCTGATGTTCGTCTTTGGAAATTCTTCCCGAACACGAAACTCCCGGTCTCCAGCCTTCACCTCCAACTCAACATTCTTTTGGGCAGGGTTAGGCTTCATGTCTTTGGTGTCGTCTTCATCGGAACTGCTAGCGCCACTGCTGGTTGAGCTGGTAGTCGAGGAGGTAGAGCTCTTAGGTGAGCCACATTGGCTAGAGGAGCTGGCATTGGACTCTGCATCTTCTTCATCTGGTTTTTGTCTATTTTCCATCACCTTGTCAATGACCTGTTTGTCTGACATGCCCATGGTGCCAAAGCCAGCAGCTGCAGCACTGGGTCGGGCCAAGGGGCGAGCTTGTGTTTTCACCATCTCAGTGAATTCATTCTTTTTGCACTCATCCTCACTCATTTCATCTTGCCCTGAATCTTCTCCTTGTCCACTGTTGGCTTCGTCATCCATCTTATCCTTGTCTTCTTCCCCTCCATCACGCTCACCTTTCTCACTCTCATCCTCATCACTTTCTTCAGCCTTTGTGCTCCGGACCACCTGATCTTCATCCTCACCTTCATCCTTGACCTCCTTGTCATCTTCACTTTCATGGTCTGAGTCATCTGCCTTCGACTCTTTCTCACTCTCATCCTCATCACTTTCTTCAGCCTTCATGTTCCTCATGTCTGGTGACCCACTTCCCTTCGTCTGGTCCACCTCGTCTTCATCCTCATCTTCATCCTTATTTTCTTCCTGGACCTTCTTCTCATCTTCACTTTCATCGTCTGAGTCATCTGCCTTTGACTCTTTCTCGATCTCATCCTCATCACTTTCTTCAGCCTTTGTGCTCCGGACCACCTGATCTTCATCCTCACCTTCATCCTTGACCTCCTTGTCATCTTCACTTTCATGGTCTGAGTCATCTGCCTTTGACTCTTTCTCGATCTCATCCTCATCACTTTCTTCAGCCTTCATGTTCCTCATGTCTGGTGACCCACTTCCCCTCGTCTGGTCCACCTCATCTTCATCGTCCTTGTCATCTTCACTTTCTTCATCGTCAGCCCCACCATTGTCTCCTTCTTCATCACTTCCAACTTGATCACTGGTCTCACTTTTGTCACCCTTCACCTCAGCAGCCTCCTGTGTGCATATTGGTTCATCCTCTGACATCTCACTTTCTTCTGCATTCACCATCTCCTTTCGTCACCACAGGGTCTTCATTCTCACCGTCCGCACTGTTGCGTGATGTTGCATCATCATTGTCCTCACTTTCAGCTTGGTCTTCTTCAACCTTCGCAGCTGAAACTTTGACAGTGTTTTCGTTCAACTCCTCACACTCTGTGTGGTCATCGTCTTCTTCTGGTGTATCACTTTCCTCAAGTGCTGAACTTTCCTTAGTGTCATCCTCTTCAGTGCTTTCCTCACATGAACTCGATGACCCATCTTCATCATCAGACTCTTCGGCTGCTGGTGCTTTTCGCTTGTGTCCTTTCTTTCCTTCCTGGTCTTCACTTTCATCCTGCAAGAGGGCAGGAGCGATGGATGAACATAGATTAAGGTTTCCCTAGGATATATGGCCTATTTCATATTTATTGCCAGATTCTTGGGTGCATATGACTAGATCTTAGGTCCATAAAATGAAAAACATGTCTTAAATTGTACCAGAGCTCATCAACATGAGTGGATGCAACCGACTTTCTCTCATCATCATCATCATCATCATCATCATCACTCGCGGGCTGGGCGGTGTTGGCAAAATCAATCTCATTGGAAATACCCTTTGATGATGATGTCGACCCACAATGCATCCTTGGAACCAAAACCAACATGCTAACTTCGTCAGGGGCATGGGTGTTAGTTAAAACAAGAGGCATTTGATCCATACTCAGGGTGTCAAAGTCCATAGGTTGGGTATCCACTTCATCGGGGTTCCTTGGATGAACATGCAACCATGTTAACTGCAATAAAAAAAATGTTGTGCTGAACATTTGGCACTATGTTTGTAGAATGGCTGACTTGCAATTCCCAGCCACACACTACTGGCTGACGATGAAGGTCTAAATGACATTTTTTTATGTCGCAGGATCACCTTGTGGCACCGATGGGCCTCATTTGTTCAGATTTGACGCTGGGAAAGGGTCATGACCAGTCAACGCATTGCTGGCATGACAAGTCAATATATTTAAAGCTATGGTACCTGTTCCACAATCCAGTCGTCACGTTCAGATTTCTTTCTGAACGGACCTAGGTTTGCAAATCATGATAGGGACAACTGACTTTGATGATCAGAGCGACTTAACATATATAATTTGAATGAACTATTTCATCACCCCTAATCAAGAATGGTTTAAAGTCAAGAAACACAGGTCATAGATAGTACTGATCTGTTGGATGACCTTTCGGACCTCACCTTCTCGAGGGACTCGGGGTAAGTTGGCAGCATTAAATGCGTTCCTCAACCATGCATTGCCACCAATCCTGATGTCACCCCCCGGGACAAACTCCTGATCCTCTTTGATGGTGCTTGGCATGTGTGCCTCCATTGCCTTTCGAAGTAACCTCAAGCATAGGACCATAAAGAACCGGACAGGGGATGATCTCTGAAGTATAGTAGAATTTAGATTTGGTCAAGAGACTGGCCCTCATCGGTGAGATTCTTCATGAATGTGCCAGCATCCGTCACTGGCTCATTTCCCATGGCGTCAACGCCCATATTTCAACTAAACGGTTTAATGCATGGTTCTATAAGTTTTTTGATATGGGATTCACTGATGACGAATATCCCACCACTTCATCATCACATCCCACCACTCATTCCCCTGAGCCGCAGGTGCTGCAACTTCAAGCGTGCGGGGCCTTCCCAACCCATCCAAAGTTCCACACAGCCTCCCATGGCCTAATTAACTTGACAATACATGATAATAAAAATACCTCAAAGGGTCACTTGGCCCACAAAGTGACCTCATTGAGGTCCCAAGTGCCCTTTTGAGTTATTTTGCTTAAGAGACTTCCATTGGAGGCCACTTTGAAGTGGCTGGATTGTATATATATATATATCCTATGTGCACTATGTATATAAAAGACCTCTACATATATAGATATAATCATATATATATATCCCGTAGTTTCACTAGCTAGATTTTCTAAGTCGACTTGAAGTCGACTTGGATCTTCAGCTAGTGTGACCTTTCAACATCTTTCAACAATGATTCGTTTTTGAGGACTTACGGACTTATCATGAAGGATTATGCGTCCATCATGGTTTTCCCGGCAAGAGCTTGAGAATAGAGTTATGTGGCGCAAGCTTTTGGTGAAGCGGAGTGATTGTTTAGTCGCTTCGTGGACTTTTAATTTCCGAGGTTCACTTTGATGATATGTTCATACTTTGATGATATGTTCATCATTATCAGATCATCCTCATTGAGCACATCACCACTTTTCAGAGAATCATCATGAATCATCGTGAAGAAGTCAAGGCTCCAGCCCTGGACCGTGTCAGGTCGGCAGCCGAAGGCATTGGAAATCTGGGAGGAGCTACTTGGAGTGGGGAAAGGGACCTGGGCATTGATGGGCCCCATCCCGTTGTGAAGATCCCAATCTATGGCTATTTTTGGGGTTCCAATTCATGGCATCCAATGTTAGACCAAGGGCTCTGGATGGTTTGGGGATAGAGAACGGCGAAGGGTGGACGTGGTCCCTGCATGAAAACGCTACTAGGGCCGAGGTCATTTGCTAAGGAACTCCGATGGAAGGATCCACCAAGAATTTGAACAGATGATATGCATAATATGTAATTATGTAATGAAATATATATATATACAGACATACAATACAAGAGAGTTGTCCTGGACAAACATGTCTTGGTATTGGCAAGTGCATTTGAAACACCTCAGCTTTCTGTCGCTTTCTCGCCACCCTCTGAGGTTATCTAGTTGCCAAGCGGATCCCATGGTGAGCAGTTCCATGGCATGTCCAGGAATCATCCCTCCCCGTTGAAATCAAGCCCCGTTGCCGCAACGGGGGACCAAGTCAACAACAGATCCAGCAGCAACTGTGCTGGTCACCATTCAATTCTATCAGAAAATGTGATGACAAATCAGATTTGGATCGGGGATCCCCCATTGACATACCCAACTCAACCAGACTTTTCAGGCAGATGTTTGGGTTTGTTTGAACATTGGGTACCGCAGTACCCCACAGCCCACTGGTCCATCATAATTCGCCTACATAGCTCACTAGTGTCCTGATGATTAAACTACAATTTGCTGTAGCTATTGAAAATGGCCATTTATAGTGGATTTTCCCATGAAAAATGGAGATTTTCCATAGCTATGTTAAATTACCAGAGGGCATACCTCATTTTCAGACGCCCTTATCACATCCATGTGTTTCATCGGTCAGATCCATGTGTTTGATGGTTAAATCATGTTAAATCCCTATGTTAGATTATCTTAGCTGGTGACACCTCCATGGTTGAGGGATACATCTTCATTTTCAGAGACACCTAACTATATAAGTTCAAGTTCATTAGATGTAAAATAGAAAGGTTATATATACACAAATATAACTAAATTATACATACTGTTTGTTATAATTACATATATTTTCTCGATGGTTATATGCTGATGGTTAATGATTGTTTTACTGGGATTAATCAATGGGAATTTCAGGATCCTAAAATGGAGGTACTGTACCATATATCCTGGGGGTATTCCCTTACATAGCCCTGAACAATAGGCCTTATATATGGTAGGTACCTCCAATTTAGTTTCCTGAAATGGCCAGTTAATTTAAATGGTTCCCTCTGGTAAATTAACATAGCTATTGAACATGGCCATTTATAGTTTATTTACCCATTAAAAATGGTGATTTTCCATAGTTTTTTGTATGTTTACCAGAGGGTAATACTCCTATTCCATTCTGCCCCATTGGCAACGGTCCAAGGTTGCGGCGCCAGCAGCCTGCAACGTGCCGGGCGCTGGCAAGAGGCGCTGCGAATCTTGCAGCGACTGCCGCTGGGCAAAATCCCTAGGAAAACCATGGGAAAACCATGGGAAAATGGTGGAAAACCGTGGGAAAATGGTGGACAACCATAGAAAAAACATGGGAACATCATTGACATTTCACCCGCATCCTCGTTGCTTAACAGAAGGGCTGGATCATCCACATCTTACTGCCAGGTTCGAACTGATTTGCTGGTTTAGAAGTGCCAAATCAATACAGAAAACAACACACCAACATCTGAAGATGCTTGACATATGGGTATGGGTCAATACCTATTAATACCATTTTTTGGGGAATGAACATCCATTTACCAGCTATTTTGATGTTCACCAGGGGTACAAGGTTTTGACACACTGCCATATGTATCACAATAGTTACCTTGAGAAAACAATGAAGCTGGAATTTCATGTGTTTTGGTTTGGGCGAAAAAAATCTGTTGAAATTATAAGGGAGAAGATCGATCTTTTTGGTAGGTGTCATGGAAAGTCACTGCGGATGTTTCAATTCCAGTTCTTTGGGTTTACCCTGTGGTAATTTAACATAGCTATTGGAAAATCACCATGTTATATGGGAAAAACCACGAACTAAATGGGCAATGTTCAATAGCTATGTGACAAATTACCAGGCCGGGTACTCTCCAGTAGGTACCCCCATGGTTTCCAGTTGCCATGCCCCAGGCAGAAACCTTGGGATGCCACTGCCCTCAGCACTGCTGCCAGTTGCCATGCGCAGAAGGATGGCTGCCCTGGCTGCCGCTGAGACGACCCGACCTGGTTTTTTCTGTCCCAAAAAACGATGGAAAATCACAATGTTTAATGGGAAAATCAACTACAAATACCCTCTGGTTATGTCAAAAGAGCTATTGAAAATGGTGATTTATATATAGTGGATTTTCCCATTGAAAATGGTGATTTTCCATAGTTATGTTAGTTTACCAGAGGGTAATGGGAACATCAACTATAAATAACCATTTTCAATAGCTATGTTTGTTTACCAGAGATTATATAAATCTTCGAAGCTGATATCACCTAAATTCACCATGAGCGTCACTGGAATGAAACTATATGTGTGTTGTTTTACCTCATGCTTTTGCTGTCTTCGGATGTTTGGTGCGGACCACCACTCAACACCAGTGGTCCTACAGGAACTTAGCAAACAGTCACGTTGCCTGCGACTTAGTTCCATGCAAATCTTGCTGGACTTGGTAATCTCTGAAAATGGGAGATGTTCTCTCAATTTATGGATTTATGGCATTTCTCCGGAAGGAAGATGATACACCAATGGATTTTGGGGTTAAGAGCAGTTGGACATGTCATTGCAAAATCTCTCAAGATGAATTCTCCTCATTGCCTTAAATGGTGTCTGGGTCACGCTTTCAGACCCTGGGACACACAGATGGACTGATCATGTTTATTAGGGCATGTGTAATTATTCTGGTTGGTGGTTTGGAACATGGCTTTTATGACTTTCCATTCAGTTGGGAATACTCATCCCAACTGACGAACTCATATTTTTCAGAGGGGTAAGTATACCACCAACCAGTATTTTATTTCCTCCATACTCAATTCTTGACCCATGCCCATCATACATGTCATACTCCCATGATACTCCCATAATCATGGTTTGCCACTGACGATTTTGCCAACTTCATGGTAATGTTGTAAACCCAACAAGAAACAATCCCCAAAATCAATCAAAATCACCATCAATTGATGGGTGCGATTTCAACCATCCCCAAATGGTACTGTACATAGTGGTGCCCCCAAACGATAGCGTTCAGTTGGTGCACATAACTCCAATGTCACTATGGTTTATGGTACTTATATATAACTATAGTTTATAACTATGGTTTATGGTACTTAGTTGGTTTATAACTATGGTTTATGGTTCATGGGGGTTATAAACTAACTTATAACTGGGGGGTACCACATTGTAGGTTTATGATGGGAGCATTTCCGAGCCATAGGAGGAATGGTCCCAGACCCGGCAAGTCCTGCAAGAGATGACTCGTCGCAAGCTAACTTTGGATGACAGGCGGACGGTCCGTGGAGACGGGACGACCCAAAAATGGCAGGCTCATGATTTTTTCCCTTGAACTGCTAGATGAACATAAATGAACATTCAATTATGGTTTGATGATTGTTGGATTGTTCACTTTTAGCTTTCCCACAAGAGAAATGAACTGTAGATTAGGTTTGATTAGCTTTTTCGCTCGTGGGAAAGTGATGATTTCTTTGTCAGGGGCAGCAAGATCTCCTGCCTTCAGGGCGCTCCGAGCCGGGATAGAGGCATCAACAGCTACGCTGGATTGGCAAGAGTCCTTGAAACTCTTGGAGCGACTGGGATGCGATGCTTGTTGAAGATTCGCAGTTGCACACATCTTGAGCTGAACAACTGGCGTGTTAAAATTTACTTATAAACATAATATGATTTTAAATACAACCCAAATGTTGTAGAATCAAGATCAATCAAGTCCCGTCCATTGTGATATTCTCATTTTTGGATACTGTTTGAACCGAAACCCAACAGAACCTGAGACCCGTCGAAGTTCTGCCGCAGATACCCAGGCAGATGGAGGACGAAGATGCGGAAGCGATGGGTCGTGTCATGACAACTCTGTCAACCTGTCAGCAGTGGGCACAGGCGAGGTGACGTCGGGCTCAGTGCGGGGTGGAAAATTCATGGAAAAAACATGGGTTGTCAAGCAATGATAGTCATCACAAACATAATCATCATCACAACTTCAAGGACAATAATAGGATATGATCTGGTTTTTAGCACATGTAATGATATGTGATACATATGTGATAATAACAGGTAGATAAGAAGAGTGCATGATAATAGTATATAGTAATCAGGCTTCACAATTGATAATAACACAAGAATCGTAATGAGAACAACAATACCTAGGGCTTGCCGTCTGTGGCAGTCCCGGTGGGTAACAGCGGCGCAACGCGGTGTTTTTTTAGGCCCTAGATCTATGCCGCAAAAAGCAGCAGCAGGGGGTGCTGATCGATGTGGCAACGAGTCGCAGCTCGGTGATAGAGATTGGATGATATCATGGTGAGCCATTTTATTATCAATGGCCATGTCAGGAACCTAAATTGGAGATACCTACCATATATATGGCCTAAATTGGAGGCTTATATAAGGGAATATCCCCTCAATTTGAGGATCCTGAAATTCCATTGACCTTAATTACTGTAGTATCAATGGATTGGTTTAGGGAAAAATATCCCGGACACCATCGATTTCCCATGAAGATCATGGTGCTTTTGCAAATTTTCAAACCAATCCATTGATAGTAGGGATTGAAACCAAGAAAAATAAGGGATATGAATGGAAAATAGCCAAATAGGCAATTAGATGCAAATAGGTGACTCATTTGTTTGGATGGGCTATTTTACATCCATTTTCCGATAGCTTTGTTAAGTTTTCAAAGGATTTTCCAGCTCAGTGGGCAGTAACCGTGGTTGCTGTGCTTCTGGGAGTTTCCTATTTTATTAACTGGGACTATCCCAGCATCAGCAGCCTTATAAGTTTTTCTGTGGGAAAAACAATAATAAACCCATTTGGGAATGGTTTTTGCCACCTATTTGGTTGTTTAAGATTAATTATTGTTTTGCCAACATTATTGCGATTGAATAGATGTGGCACTTTCATCAAAGTAAATGTGGCAGGCAGTGCCTGGTCAGTATACAGTCCTCTCCAAATATCAGACTTGTTCATTTGAACATTTACCAAGTTATGCGAGGTATAGTTAGTTGATTTTCCCACTGTGGATGGAAGAAATCCTGTACCAGTTGATAAGTATCTCGTTTATGCCAATATTTATACGGTTTCTACCATCGAAGGTGGTGCAGGGTTTCGCAACCATCCACAGGTGTGTGTCATAGTTTCCAGCCTTTTTTCCCATCGGATTGGTTTACGGGAAAATCTTGAAACCATCAATTTATATCAATTTCCCAAAAGAATCTAGAAACCATCAATTTTCATCATTTTATAGTCATGTTCCCAAAAGAATCTAGAAACCATCAATTTTCATCATTTTATAGTCATGTTTTATAATCTCGAAACCGTCAATTTATATCAATTTCCCAAAAGAATCTAGAAACCATCAATTTTCATCATTTTATAGTCATGTTTTATAATCTCGAAACCGTCAATTTATATCAATTTCCCAAAAGAATCTAGAAACCATCAATTTTCATCATTTTATAGTCATGTTCCCATAATCTCGAAACCATCAAACCATCATTTTATATATGTTATAGTCATGTTCCCAAAAGAATCTAGAAACCATCAATTTTCATCATGTTATATTCATGTTCCCAAAAGAATCTAGAAAGCATCAATTTTCATCATTTTATAGTTATGTTCCCAAAAGAATCTAGAAAGCATCAATTTTCATCATTTTACAGTCATGTTCCCAAAAGAATCTCGAAACCATCAATTTTCATCATTTTATAGTCATGTTCCCAAAAGAATCTCGAAACCATCAATTTATATCAATTTATAGTCATGTTCCCAAAAGAATCTAGAAAGCATCAATTTTCATCATTTTATAGTTATGTTCCCAAAAGAATCTAGAAACCATCAATTTTCATCATTTTATATTCATGTTCCCAAAAGAATCTAGAAAGCATCAATTTTCATCATTTTATAGTTATGTTCCCAAAAGAATCTAGAAAGCATCAATTTTCATCATTTTACAGTCATGTTCCCAAAAGAATCTCGAAACCATCAATTTTCATCATTTTATAGTCATGTTCCCAAAAGAATCTCGAAACCATCAATTTATATCAATTTATAGTCATGTTCCCAAAAGAATCTAGAAAGCATCAATTTTCATCATTTTCCCACATGAAATCTGCGGGCGTTGAGGCACAGTGGCGCAGCTGCTTGGGGTGCATGGCCAGTGGCAGCCGCTGCAGGAGATCTTTGGGAATCTGGAACGGCGCCAAGCACTGGGCGGCTGGTGGAATGCCAAGGCGAAGGGGAAGGGATGGGGTTGGGATATGGTGAGTAAATGATGGTAAATGATGGGATATGGTAGTTGGAAAGAAACCTGGGATGAAGTGGAAATGATTGAAATGCTGGGCCGCTGCTGTCAAATTCCGGAGAAACGTAGCCAGGGGGTGAAACCCATGATAATGACTTCAAACTGGTGACTTGATTCACGCAGGTAGTTTGGAGAAGGAAGTACCCTCTGGTGAACTAACATAGCTATTGAAAATGGCCCATTTATAGTGGATTTACCCATTAAAAATGGTGATTTTCCCTGGCTATGTTAGTTTACCAGAGGGTAATTTGTTAGTTACTCAAACGTGCCGGTTGACACAAACTTCTTCGGCGGGTGTTTCGTTCAATAGATTTTCCTCGGGATTTGGCAAGATAATTATTGATATATTTTCTATTTGGTCAATGCCACCATATGCATACCCTCTGGTAATTTAACATAGCTATTGAAAATGGCCATTTATAGTGGATTTTCCCATTAAAAATGGTGATTTTCCATAGCTATGTTAAAATACCAGAGGGTATTAGCCATACAGCATACAGTATGCACTTCAAATTCTCGATTGAGCCTATCCAATCTAGACCCTCAAGTTGAAATCATCCCGAGGCAATACCCATCATCACACTAAAAGACAACGCTTTCACGAACTCCAAAAAAAAAACGGTTGTGGCAGTTGTGGTAACATATTTGTTTCCAAGAGAACAACGGTCACCTTTAATTTTGTGGTAAAGCATGGTAAAGCCATAAAAAATTATCATCCCCATCACCAAACTGCCAGGTCCTGGACGAGCAACGGCAGCAGAGGACTGAGGAGCTCAGTGCGGCCATTTGCTCAGCGTGACTTGACATCGGAGGGGTCTGAAGGCGATGGAGAGGGAGATACAAAATGCATGATTAACATCTATTAACTGCAGATTAGAGATATATGTGGCACACGCTGCTGAGATAATGGAATATGTTACTGAGATAATGAATATTCTTACGTTATCATGACATTGGTCAAAATGAGTTAGAATGACCGCTGAAAGCAGCCCCCGCGACAAGACAGTTGAAATCTATGCCTTCAATCATGTTAATGTGCTGTGTATCTCGCTAGCCGTTGCCCACAGGCGGTGGCAAGATGCATTGAGCCTATGGCAAGAAATGAAATCCGAGACTTGCATTGCAAGCTTGAACTCCCTTTGGCTTTGAATGCCAAGCATGATCACAGGGACATCTACAATTGATGGGTGAACTGCATTTGGGATCGTTTGGGTGGATTAATGTCTTCTTTTAAAAATATGTTAGTTAATGTTTGGAATGGAACCCCACAAATTTGCTTTGGAAGCTGACTTTCTGCTGAAGAGTTATATAAATATGCGTAAATCAGGTTTTCTCAGTGAACTTTCCTTGCAGACGGACCATGTTTACCAATTTCGCTATAGGTTACTTGTTGGTTTGTTGGAACATGGGATACATATGGATACATCAATTTTCCATGGTTCCTAAGAATGTTTACCAGCATGTTCCCTAGAAACACATTGCCAGTGTCATTCATTTTCGTGGGATTTTCAGGAGAGGCTGGAGCCTCAGCCGCGGGTCTTTGCTCCCTTGCTGACAGCCAGTTGTGCATCCTCCTGGCAAGATGCCTTGCAGATGCTGGAGGATGGGCATGAGAGACCCCCAGGGCAAGCCACAATCACCCGTCCGGATCAAAAAATCCAGGTTGATTCATTAGGAGGTAACAACCCAAATGGTGATAGATTGCAACAATAACAGATGGTTCCCTCCAATGATCAACAGCGCGGTGTGGATGTGATAGTTGATGATTCCATATCCCATTCATGTTCTGCAAAGCAAGGGATCAGAATAGGGCAAAACCTCTGGACGCCCGGGCGAAAAAAAAAACATAAACATTCCTGAAATGATTGGCTGGGATTCCTCCGGGCACTGCTTTTCAGGAGGTGAAGCAGCGAGGCCACGTGCCCAGCAACGAGGCCCTGAGTGGCGTGGTGATCCGCTGCGCGGCGGCACGGCAGTGGCAGGAAGCCTTGCAGTTGCTGCGGCAGCTGCGGGGAAAGGGCTCGGTGCCTGGGATTGGGGATGATGGGGGATGAGGGGCTTGCTGGAGGGGTGTGAGCTTCCACTTGGTCTCCAGATATGTCCTAATAGGTCCTAATATTATTCCACAAGTACATTAAATAGCACATGCTTGGAAAGATTTCCAACATATTCCAACATATTCCACGCAGAAAATAGTGGAGATTCCATACCCGGATCCCAATTGCTGGTTCCAAGGCTGCGGCCTATGCAGCGCTCATCAACGCCCTGCCGAAGGATCAACCGCAGCTGGTGGCGGAGGTCTTTGCAGAGATGAAATCCAGGCCATCGGGGGATCAGCTGGGGGAAGGGCCGATGGCCTGGAACCGTTTAAAAAAAAATCAGATGGAAACGTGATGGCTGGAATTTGGGATTTTGTTTGCAACATTACCCACTGGTAAATTAACATAGACCCTGAAAATCACCAATTTTTAATGGAAACTAGTCTTCCAACCCCTATCTGCCAGGGTCTATGTTAATTTACCAGAGGGTATGTTTTTTTTTTTTTTTAAGGTTCTGTTGTTTTTTTTTTTCATGGGAGATGGCAATGGTTGGTTTGGATGCCAGAATCCACTCGGTGTATCCTGAGGATTGATCCCTTGAGTACCAACTCCTTGATGCTTGAGAGCCTAGTGTATTATATAGGTACTGTAGAGTTTAATGGTTTTAAACCATAAATTATATAGGTATTATATAGGTACTGTATTATTATTATTATTATTATATAGGTACTGTACATAAATTATGTCTATGGGGCAATTTGAATCCAAAACGGTGATACTGTACAAGTTGCAAGCCACAAACATTCATCATTAACTGTAAGAATCTTAGGAAGGGGTGCAATACCTCAATGAGGAAGATCATTTTATATATGCCGTCCAAGCTTAAAGAATTTGTTGATTGTCACCCATCTTTCAGATGAGATCTTAGTAAATTATATATGTATATATATATTGTTTGTTGTTTTGAGTGCATATGATAATTGTCATCATCATCATCATCATCATCATCGTCATCGTCATCGTCATCATCATCACCACCACCATTTCCAGGCCCAGTTGGGCCATGGCACGCCCAGAGTCTGGCACTGAAGCCGCAGAACATGCCGCTTCCTGTGCTGGATCCGCGGAAGTTGAACAGGTCGCAAGAATGGATCCAGAACGCCGATGAGATCATTGGGGATGTGACGGATCGGCTTGGCAAATCTGGCAATTGCTTCAGGAAAAAGAAGGTTTTTGATGATTTTTTTGAGGTAAAAGATTTGGAACAGTTCAACCGTTTTTTTTTTAAGGTTGACGAGTTATGACGAGCTGACGATAGGTGGAAAGCCATATATAGATTGTTAATTTTGATATGAATTTGGATGCATTTGGGGTGTTTGTTGTCAAACATGACTCAACATCGCTGTACTGTGGGAGAACATGCATGGGCTAACGGTCCGGTCTTTTAGTCATTGATGAGGATTCTCCATTGGATCAAGCACAGTGCGATGGTCGACTGTCGAAGCTGACCGACTGAGCGACTGGCGAAGTGGTGATGAGTTGGAAAGCTGACCTCTGGCAGAGTTGCTTTCAAACAGTTTTTTTTTTCCTATGGCGCCGGGATGGTGATCTCGCACAACTTCTGTCAGGCTTGCAACCAGGAAGGCAAACTTCTCACAGGAAACCAACCCAGCTGCACTGAAGGCCCTGGTCTACATGGGCTGTAGAAGAAGGGGACACGCATGTCCCATAGTGGCACACATTGGCACACCGTTTTCTTGTTTTTGCTTTCAGGTTGACACTGAAACCCGAACATCAGGTATATCTTATTGACGTTGATATATGATATATCCTGTGATATATGAAATGTAGAAACTCCTGGAATTTCTCAGGTTGGACATGTTTTTTTTTCCACAATCTTGGCAAGGGGGAATCCATTCAGGACTACTGACCTTTGCGGAGAAGCAGATGTCAAGATCAGAAGGGCCAGCACTGGTGAAGCTCATTAAGATTGGGACACTGAACCCTTGGCAACATCCCAAGATCTCCCGATCTGAATCCTTGGGGCCCAAAGACCGGCCTGTGTCAGCTCTGTCTCTGCGGAAGGATGATTGGAACATGTGCGATTTCAAGCACCAGCAGTATGAGGGAGATCATCTTGGAAAACCTGATATATAGATTGCCGGATCTAACTAGATGCAAGGGCCCAAATCAGGCCTTCTCAAGGGCCCAAATCCACCCGGTGGAACAGGTGTGCGTGTTTTTCACAAATTGCCCTTCTTAACAAGGCAACTCTGGCAGTCTCGGGGCTGCCATTTTGCAGGACGGGACTGGATGACCTTCCGTTGTTCTGAGCTTAGTGGGGCCGGGGTCGATTGGCTTGAAATCATATACCCTCAGAAATCTCACATGGGGGACCCAAAGATTATCATTTCTGCAAACAACTGTAAAATTCTCAGAACCTAGCAGACCAGACCAGCCAGTCTTCGTCAAGCAAGAATTCGGGTTCAGCATTGGACACAGCAGCAGCATATCAGGAATTTGTATGGTATAATTAGTATGGTATGCATCATGTGCTTTGAACTTTGACCATATTATGCATTTGCAAGACTGAAAAGACACGCATATGACTCCCAAAAGCATTGACAAACAGTTTCTATGGGTTCAATGTTTGTTTTAAGGGGAGTACCATGTTTGTTTGTCGGGGCTTTCGTTTATCATCAGTACTTGGGATTAACATTCCCAGATGAACGGGTTGTTCTTCAGCAGCATTGAAACCACTAGAGAGAGAAAGAGAGAGTTTAGTGCACGAGGAGACGCCTTAAAGAAACAGACCTTTCATGATTTGATTCCATTGCCACAATTTTGAGATAGAAAATCAACCATGTGTAGTTGTCAATGGAAAATTCGCCCATTCATACCCATTTCCGGCAAGATTGCCCGATATGCTCTCCATGGTTTTTCATTGCCGTCTTTGCTTGCTGCAAGTGTTAACTTCTTTTACTGTATATAGAAACGTGTGTTTGCTTTCTTCCAGGGTGGAACTGGGATATGTGTACGTATACGTATCATTATGTGTATTTACATATATATATATATATATTCACACGCATATATATATGTATGTAGTATTATGTATGTATATATATATATACATATGTTTGCACATCTATATAAGGCTGTATCTATGTGCACGCCATCCCGCCATGTTTTCCCCCATTCCCATTGATTTCAGGGGAAGATTTGCAGGAAACGACTCGATTTTCAGGTATTCTGGTTGGTGGTTTCAATGTGGGTAAAACAATGCCATAAACCAGCCATGACTGGGAATAGCCTATAAAAATGGTGACTGGTTGGTGGTTTCAAACATTTGTTTTTTTCCATTTCATGTATGGGATGTCATCCTTCCCATTGACAAAGTCCATCATTTTTCAAGATGGTTAAAACGCACCACCAAGCCGTATTACTTGATAGGAAACACACATTTTACAAACCATCAACTCCATGAATCCGGTAGAAAATTCCTGTAGATTTTCCGGTCGATTTTCCTGGCAAAAAAAATCCATTGATCCTCCTCCCGAGGCTTCTGCCCTTAGATGTGGAACGCATCGTTGGAAACCTCGTCGCTGGGCGCTTGGCGAGGCGAAGCTAGGAAATTCTCCACGAAAAATAAAAGTTTTAATATGTTTTTGTTGGGAATATAGGTGGCAAATAAATGGATATGAATGGTAGATTGAATGAGAATATGATCATTTAATATAAGTTATATGATCTTTAACTAGTGGATTTGAATGGGAAGTTGGTTCACAAGACAGATATCTCCAACTGAAGGTTGGCCCATCCCACACTGGATCTCTGCCGCAGGAGGAAGCAAAGGGGGCTGCGATCGGTGCCGCACTTCGAACAGCATCCGCATAGCTTGAGGTGCTCTAGTGATTGGGTGGGTTTAGAAAATCACAGGTATGAGAGATATATGAATATTGAATTCTTGTAAAATTATAATGGGGATTACTGGGAATTACCCAGTTTCTATGTGGGTGCTCTTTTCAAACGCCGGTTGCTGAGCCATCTCAGACCCTACAGTGATCAAGCGTGCCAAGAGCAACATGTCCATGATATAAACAAGCAGGAGAACTAAAGCTGCCAGCCGTTGATGGCTGCCATGGCGGAGGCACATTGCCTTGAGCCCTATGCCAAGCATCTTGGATTGTTACCTCGGATATGTCTTGGGTCATGTCGTCCCACTCTCAGTGGGGTGTGGTCACTTGGGCACGGCTTATGGTGTTGAACAGAAGTCCCTTTAAACTTTAAAGATCTTTAAAGGAGGGCTCCACATTGGGTCCTCATTGGGTCTTCATTGTGTCCTCCTTAACACACTTTTTGTAGTGTGTTCCTGGCATTTCCTCGCCATGTCATGTGGCTCACCCAGGCGGGATGTTTGATCGAGCAAGAGAAGTCAGGCTATGTCGCCAATGTTCGAGATCCCGGGGCGGCCGTGGTGAAAATAAAAGCAGAATTCGGAAGATGGATTACCCTCTGGTAATTTAACGTAGCTATTGAAAATGGCCATTTATAGTGGATTTTCCCATGAAAAATGGTGATTTTCCATAGTTATGTTAAATTACCAGAGGGTAACCATGTCCAGATTCCCTGATGATGAGGGTAAAACCTGGGACATTTACTGCACAAAAGATATATATAGTAGAAGTATTTAGAAGTATAGTACCATATTTGAGATCTCAGTGGTGAAACATACGGCAGCCGCACCGCCCTTTTTCTTCGAGGTCAGAAATATCGGAGAAGATGTGCTCGAGTGCAGTGCCCAGATTCGCTTGGGGTGGATAGATCCATCGCCTGGATGGCACCATTGTGCAGCGTAGGCGAAAAACAATGCTGCCATGAAAACTGTTTTTTTCGTTATTTCAATACACGTCAACCTTGACATCCACATCATCCACTTGCCATTGAACAATTCACATTTCTCATTTCAGACAATGTTCATCTTGTAGAGGATAGTGAGACACAAATCTGCTCATTCTCATGCTTGAGTGCGTTTTTTTCAGAATTTGGCGAAGATTATCGCAACCTCACTTCAGCCTCGCCATAGATGATGATTGCTAGGGATAGTCATCCCAGTCCCAACAATATAAACATGCAACTATATATGCAACTTGTTTCCAAACTTAAGAATTTCGATGAAGGCTTGTGATGCATTTTTTTCGCCGTGGGCTTAGATGGGTTTCCCATGGCTTTACCATGGGTTTACCCCTCCCTAAAAAAGGTAACGTTTCCCGAGGGATCGACGGCAGCTGAATCTGCTCAAGCCTTGCGTGCCTTGCGGCCGCGCCCCTGATGAATCAGGAGATCGGTTTGGTTTCACCATAGGAATTTACCCAGCCAACGGCTCTCCTTTGCTTTGGGAAGCACCAGCTATCCGGCTCCATGTGTTTCATTGGTTCTTTGACAACACTGAGCTGTTGTCAATGAAACATCTGATCTGCAATGATCTGCACGTCTTTGTTGAAAGGACACCTCTATGTTATGTTATCATTAAATGCATTTGAACAAGTGGGGAGTTGCTTGTGCATTTTCTGAATTTCTTGTTAAGATGTGCATGTGAGCATTTTATGTCATTACTCAATCTATTCTACATTCAACATACACACATACTGAAAGACACACACACCCACACACACACGAGAGTATCAGATAATATCAGTATATTAATAAACTCAGGTAAACCAAAAAAAGTGAAGAGCAAGTAAGAACTACATTTTAGTGTATAGAATATATAGTTGTTTTCTACTTTTTTGTGGTTGTGATCCCATCTACCGCAGGATGCGCAGGATGCTGGCGGCATGCCTGGGGAGCACAATGATTCCAGTGGGGAAGCTCCAGAGATCCAGCTGCGATGTGTTTGACAATGGGGATCTGATGGATGTGATGGTTGCAGCATTTTAGAGATCATATTTGCAACATTTTGCAACAAGCTGAATATTAATATGAATGTATAATAATGTTTATTTATTTGTTTATATGTATATATATATGTGAAATATATGATATATATATATATATAAACATTATAATATGCATGTAATATCATATGAATGATGTTCTTTGGGTTTGTTTCATGGGACTTGACCATGGAACATGGTGATCAAATAGAAGATGGTATACAGAGCCAAAATTTGATGGTTTATGATCTCATGTTCATAAACTGCCCCATTGCGATGACAACTCTTTGCAAGTGCTATTTGAAGGGGCATCCTTATTTACACAAAAAGACTTTGCCTTTGCTATAGGCAGGCAGATCAAGCAACATCAGTGCGGGTGACTGAGGTTCTTTCATGTTTTTTTCATAAGGCTGTCGGGAGACGTTCCAATGTATTCAACACCAATTGTAGGTTTAACATTGTGTTCGTTTTCCCAACGGTGTGAAGGGTTCTATTCCTATTAATTATATATATATATTACATATATAGAGATTGCAAACGGGGATGTAAGTTGCCGTTAAATTCATACGATTGGACTTCTGTGTCCCAACAGACATGAACACCATATGTCTATATATATGTATATACATAATTACTATCTATATATATATATGTGTGTGTGTGTGCGCGCAGTTTTACACATTTATTCATTTGTTCATTTATAGACATCAAAAAAAAGCCACCCGGAAAATGACAATGGAGTTTTAACAAGGGACTACGATGGACTACGGATGGTTTCATGGTGCAGTAGCTTTTCTATAGTTCACGTGCTGAAGGCAAGCACTACGGAATTCCTGATTTTCCAGGAAAAAATGCAGAAGCGAACGCACCAACCAGATAAAGACAAACTCATCGCCGCATCGCTTCGAAACGAGAGGAGTCTGGGTTATCCCGCAGTTTGTCACCAAGTCACCCTTCCTATCTTAAAAAGTGGTTTCCCATAGTTTGCTACATTGGTTTGAAGCTAGGTTAACCAGGTCTTATGGTGGCCCTATCTGTAGTTGGATGTCTTGACAACATCCAACTGGTGGGCACCACTGTGGCATACCAAGGTGACGAGAGCAGCAAGTTGGCTGATAGTGCGGCGGCTTTCAAGGACCGGCTGGAAATTTCTGTGCGACTTCACAGTGACCTCACTGTAAATGATGGGCAGGAATCATCTCAGATTTCTGAGTTTGCTTTTTTTTTCTGGTTGGTGGTTTCAAACATTTTTTATTTTCCATAATGTATGGGATAATCCTTCCCATTGACGAACTCATTTGTTATATTTTTCAAGATGGCTAAAACCACCAACCAGTTTTTTTTCGGGTCTCTGACCTAATTATAGCATTTTGCCCAGGTTGAGGGGTGATAGCTGATTTTCCCTAGTAGATTCGCCTGCTGCCTTGGATCCATTCCAGGAGAATTACCCCATGGCCTACAGCAGCAAGCGCAAGGGCAAGACCTATTTTGGTGCCCTGAGGCTGGTTCAGGGCAGAAGTGGGGATGGCGGATCGAAAAATGCCACTGAAAAAACATGAGGACCATGTTATGGAAAATGCTGGGGTGTCATTTTGGGATGTTTTATATATATATATATAATTATATGTATAAATATCATAGATTATATAACAATCACAGATATGGTTTCCAGCAGGCTATGAATATTTGATTACCGGGGGACCATGGCATTGAAAAGGGGATCCTTCACCCACTTCAGATCTAGAGCCTGAGCTGCAGGTTTTTTCCCGTATTCTCATGGATAAAACAAGTATATGAATTAATGAATAAGACTGGATATACAGATGGATACCAGTTATTTAAATTTATATAATAAATTATCTATCTATATATATATACACATGGATGTAGGTGCGTATAATTATGGAACACAGTGGACATGTTCGATTGTCATTTTTTCGGCTACTGGAGGGGTACACTCCCGCATGGCATTTGATGATGTTCGCCCAGTTTCCGGACGAAGATGACGGCGACCTTCCCCGTCTTGGCGTATGGAGCCTTGAGGCCCAGAGCCCGTCGGTGCTGTGATGATCCGTGCAGCTATGGTGAGGTGGTAATTCATACAGACAAGGGGGCATCCCGGGCACCCCAAAAGTGGAGATTTCACCAAAGAATTGGGAAACAAATAGGATGCCAGATGTGTTTTGCCATTCATGGGAGTTGATGGCGAGATGATTTTGCTCGTGCACAGTGAGCATTGCTACCTGTACTATCTCATAAGTTTGCGAAGGAATGTCACTATGTCAATATATGGTTATTTTAGACGGGTTCATTTGTTTTAATGGGAGTTCTTGTAATCCATATATGAGTAAAAAAATCAACCAACCACTAAAGTTTAGCTGGAAACCGTATTATATGAACGCGTCCCCCTAGTCAAGTGTGATTGAACATTGTTTTTTTTGCTTAGTGTTCTTGCCATAGAAGTGTTTTTAGGACCTGTATAGGATATATACCGGAACCAAGTAACAAAAACTCAGGGTATCCAACAGCCAGGCGGTGCATTTCTGTTTTGTTTCCCATTTAGGTCCAGCAGGTGACCTGTGAAGGCCCAGGTGACCTGGTAGCCTGCGGCAACCAGCCCATCTTGGCAGGTACTTCAAGACTGGTTACATGAAGAAATTCTACACTGACGACTACCCACGAGCTTCGTTCTTTGGCATTTTGTGGAGCATTTTGTGGATTTAGATGGAATGTAGATGTATGATAATGATGGATAATGTATGTATTTAAACAAGTCAACATTATTGTCAGCTTCAGCGTGTCCAGAGCTGAAGTTTTTAGACGTTTTGGAAGAAACCAAGGCTTAGCATTCTGTCGACCTTCCTCATCATCAGTACGCTTTTAGATTTGGCATGGGTTGCCTGGCTGTCGGGTCCGCAACGGCCGTGGGAGTGACAGTTTTGGGGACGAGTCAAAGTTGGGATAGTTGGGCACCACAAAGATCGGAAGATTTATGTTGCGGTAGAAATACTAGAACTATCTAGAACTAACAATCTGATCAACCTGAGCAACATGAGTTGTGCCCCTCAATTGCGATTCGGCCCCATGTGTGTCCATCACTAGCGCCAAAAAAAACGAGCATGGTTCTTCTCTGAAACTTTGCTAGGAATCACCAAGTCTTCAAAAAAAAGGTTCATGACAGCAGTGGCAATGTTGGGAATCACTTCTTCCAGACCTTTGCGACCAGGATCCGACCCTGGCAGCTTTAACAGAGACCCGGCCACAACTTGGGATGTGGGCAGGTCAGTGTCGCAACCGCATTCCTGCAGCTGGCACTGATGGATTTGTTGATCCTCTCAAACAAATTCCAGGATCTCTCGCAAGAATCCCTACCACACATTACACTGCAGCTGGAAAAGCCTGGTAAGGCATTGTGAAAAGCATTGCACACTAGCAATTCTTGAGTGGAATTCATTCTCATTCTAACGGATTCCAAAGGATTCTGTGGTTCCAGTTGACAAGGGGGGCCCCAGTTCGGAATTGCTAAGTTGGTTTAGAAAGAACTCCAATATTTGGGACTTATGGTAGGGAGAGGTATTATATTAGTTAATTGATGGAGTGAAAGTAAACCAACAAACACCACCTGAAGGACACGACACGACCACCTCCATCATTTTCCGGTTTTGAGGACGGCACCCGAACCGTTTGTGGGCGCGACTACGGGCGACGGAAACCTTTCCTCTTCGTGGCAAGCTTCATTGTCCGAGTCCCACAGTTTTTTTTTCCGTGCCGGAAGTAAATATAAGTTCGTTGCCTTTGCTGGTCGAAAACAGATTGGCAAGACCATTGACCAAAAAACATGTGTTTTTGTTTTTTTTTCCCGGTTAGTACTTTATGTTTTTGGTGTGATTCCCTGTGCGGCCCTTCAGTGCCTCAAGGTGGCTGTTCTTTCATTTCATCATAGATCCGCTAGATCCAATTTGCTGAGGTTCATAGTCCAAAACAGGTAAATGATGATAGATGGATATAGATGGTATACCAGCTCCCGGCCCCTCTATCTTTACATATTTTTACCAAAAGGACAGTATTGCTGAGGTTTGTCTCTTCTATTGCTTGGCTTTTGCACCACCGGTCTCCTTGTCTGCAAATGCACAGAGAGACTCAGAGATTTGGTATATCGAGACTCTTGGCCAACATGCCAGGGTGGTATCCATATCCAGAGGATACTTGGGAAGCCCCCTCCGGATTCAAATCCTTTCAGAATAGATGGTTTATTTATGGTTTATACATGTTTAATGATGTTTATATATACAGTTACCATTTTATACCACCCATATTTTGATGGTTTGTACCAGACCATTTATGGTGATTTAGGAGGTGGTTTATGACTGCTCAACCAACATTAGAACATTCTTATCAGTTGGTCCCAGTTGATAGAACAATGAACTAGTGAAGCAGATGGTGCATTTGATCATTTGGTTTCTGAGTCACAGCAGGAGATCTCAACAATGAACTCATCACCCGTCAACCCAGCCAGGCAACCTCAGAATTGACACATTGCTTGAAGGGCTTCTCAAAACTGGATAGCCATTGATTCTTAATCAACTCCGAATTCTTTGTTGATCAAGTCACATCCGCTATACTGAAATATCCACAGTCGTCGTGTTGGCCTTCAGAAACTTATGAGTGGTTAGATCCCCATGGCGATGGAGATCATTTGATCCATGGGCAACTCTGGCATATCTTTGGGGTAATTGCTGTATAGTATATTTAACATGATTTGAACCATATGCATACATATTTATAAATATATATATATGATTTATATATATATATACATGTATATTATCCACGTGTGTGTAATTGGAACGCACATGTTCATACCTTTGGGGGTGAACATGACATCGAAAATCAAGGAATGGGAACTCCGGTGAGAAGGCGCCCATCTTCAATTCCATCGCTGCCGCCGTGCTTGGCCGGAAGGGGTGAAGGGGATGATGACCGGATGACTCATTTATTCATTATCTATCTATCATCTATATTATATTATAATATATTATATTATGTTTTATATACACTGTAATTATATATATATGTATATGTATGTATCATAACCATACATCATATCATACATCAATAAACATCTGTGCATTTTGGTGATGGCTTGATGGCTTGAATCCACCACCACTTTAGCACCTCTGGTGCTGGCGCTGAGGTGTGGTTTGGCATCTTCCATATCTTGGTCCGGGGACCCGGGAGCTTTGCAGAGACTTCGGTAGGTGCTCACATCCTAAAACGTATTTGCTGGATGGTTTTCTGCCTCTCGCATAAGTCCATGTAAGTCCCTTAGGCGATGAACTAATTTCAGTTTTGCAGTTGTTAGTCTCATATGCACCTGGAACATGTGACATGTTCCTTGTATCTACCGTACTCATTCCTTCGTCCTAGAGAGCAACGAGCTATTACTGCGAGGTGTCGCACTGCTGTTGATTTAGCCACGCGCACTATACTGATGATATGGCACATCGATAATCATCCAACTAATCAAAATGTTGATGCCACCCTGCAAACAGTCCAGGCATATACAGTTTGTTTATGTTTGTTTTATACTTTTAAACAGAACATAGTAACCGATAGCATCGGTAGCTTGCTTATTTGACTCAAAATTATAACCATTGTCAACCGGCAGACCCGCTCCACTTCGCTGCACCGGCTGCCGAGGTGAAGGTCGTTGCAGATGCCACCCAGGATATCCCCCATGGAGCACTCTTAGTCGAGCTCACCCCCGATGGGAAAGAAAGCTGCTGGGGCCGCGAAGCCGCTGCAGTTGACGGAGAAATGTTGGTTGATTTGATTTTGGTTGATCTTGGTTGATGAGTTTATTGGAAACCGTATGCCAATTTGGAGGAATATGGCATATGATGATGTGCCATGAGAAAATTAGAAAGATGTTCACTAATGAACTGATGATGTCATTTACTCGTATTTTGAAAATTGCATCCTTACGTGTATGATCATCATAGAGGGTTTTAATGAAAAAAAAATCTATAAAGAATGGATTTTCCATTGCCATGTTTGCTTCCCGGAGGGTAAGTGTAGTAATGGGACCTTGAGAGGTCAGTGGGGGCTTACATCGATGTCCATGTAAAAGTACCAAAGGGTGCAGGAAGGACCCCCCGGTTACAAATTGGTCTATAACATAACCCCGTGCAATTAATCATATATAATTGTTCACTTTTATTTCTTAAAATATATTTTATGCACACATACATACATACATACATATATATATATATATACGTACATGCATACGTGCATAGTATATATATATATACATAATATTCACCATGAATCCTTGTCAGCCAAGTTACACATCAACTTACCTATCCGATCGGGTGGCCCTGATTCTGGCTCGGACCCAGGAACGAATGTGTGGTCCTGGATGGAATTTTGGGGATGCATTGGAATCCTCTCAGGCGAGAACTTGTCAAACAAGAGCCACATCTTTCTGGATGAATAGGCAACTTAATGTATGAGGGAATATCATTTATAACTGGGTAGATCATGGAACAAAGCATGGGAATATCATTTATAATTTGGAATGTAATGGATATTATATACAAATCAACACATATTGGAGATACCCTGTGGTGTCATCAAACGTGGCTGTTTGGAAAATCCCCAATCAAAAATGGAGGTTTATAGCTAGGACAATCATCGATCTCTAACTGATGTGTTGTTCATTGCCACGTTTGAGAACCAGAGGGTAAATTGCTTAGGCAGTGTAAATGATGGAAACATATGGAAACTGGATTGGGGTAATTAACTATCCCCAAACGGAAGGGCCGATTTGCGCGAAGTCAGGAGGCTGTTCAGGTCAAGGTTGGTGCACTTTGATGTGGGGATGGCTTGGAATTGGTCTTCTGACTTGATTGTATGATAGTAATTTCCCTCTGGTAAACTAACATAGCTATTGAACATTTTCCATTTATAGTGGATTTACCCATTAAAAATGGTGATGTTCCATAGTTACGTTAGTTTACCAGAGGGTATGTAGAGGGATTTCAAATAGGGGATACCCCAAGATCCTAAATTAGACCATGTCCTTGTTTTGAGGACCCACCAGCGGCTTTTGTTTGGAAGAGAGTCAGATAGAACAGTCATTGATCACAGTTTTAATGGAGATGTACTTTTCGATCTTTTTTGGGGATGACTACAATGTTGCCCGACTGCAGTCCAAATCTGCAAGTGAAATGTTGCTGGAATGTGATCTCTGATCTGAAACTCTTGGCCGTAGTGATGGACATGTTTAGTCTTAGATTCCCAAAATGGTTCAAGAAGATTCCTTTCCTATTGGATCTGGCGATTTCTGAGTTCCATGGGCACGGGTGCAGGAATGTCATTGCCACTCTTGGGGGAAAGCAACTGCGCCTCCAGCGCGGAAACAGGACGTAGTTCGTCGCCTTGTTGTGCTGTGATGATGAGTGGACAAGCTGAACACGACTAGTTACACCAGGATTTCTTGCCAGAGGTACATGTATGTTAATGTATGTTGGTTATGGTTGTGAGATGAAGTAGTTGTAGTCATGCATCATAAGCTCCACAATGCTACTTGTGACTGGTTCTAAGTGTTGACCATTCATTTCATGTTCCTAGCTCTGCTCGCAGGTTGCTATGAGTATCTCTTCATTGCTCTGGGACTGGGTTTGCTGTTCATGGTGTCCAATTTGTCCCTTGGATTTTCCAGTTGAACAGACTCCGGAGTTCAGTAGCTCCAATGGTTTAGGCTTAATCTATGACAGTGATGACATTGGTCCATTGGTCCTTGGGTCTGCAGGTTTCAGAAGCCAGTTCAGACATGTTCAGACTTCTCAAGCCCCTGACATGAACACTATTTGCTGCAGGTATGACATGATTGGGTCCTCCAAAATATCCAAAATGGGGTCCCAGCATCGTGACATACTGTGACCCAGGCATCTGTGTTGGCACGTCAAGGAGAGGCCCACGAAAAACTTGGTCGATGAAGCAGAAGGCTTTGTACCCAGCATCGTGGGTTGCTTGAGCAACTACCCTTTCTTCATCCTGTTGCTTGGTGGAGCCACCAATGGCCAAGATGGAAGTCTCTGGAAAGATAGGAGGCACCAAGAAATGCCTGCGGAAGATTTGCACATCGTATGTTTCAGCGAATCAACACCTTTTGGACCCCGATGAATTGCTGCTGATTTTTAGCAAGTGTCACTTGCTTGTTGCTTGCGACCGTCACGCCAAGCATCTGGCCGGTCAGCAAGGGATCTGAAATTGCAGATTCGGGGTTCGAGAAGGCCACTTCGGTATAATTTACATAGTATTATAATAATCATCTATAATCGAGAAATCGATGGAGAGAGATTTACTTACTTTTTGAGTGTCACTCGCGCGTCACTTTTTGGCATTGTTTCTGCTCGTCCAAATAGCTTAGTTCCTTGCTTAGAGGCAACTTGGCCTTAAAAAGACGACCATAGGCCACAATAAAGAATTGTTTGGTTCTACAATGTCAACATACCCTCTGGTAATTTAACATAGCTATTGAAAATGGCCATTTATAGTGGATTTTCCCATTAAACATGGTGATTTTCCATAGTTATATTAGTTTACCAGAGGGTAAATCTCAAAGACATTCCGAATGTGAAGGATTTGACTGTGAGGTTTGACGATGAACAAGAGCCCGGTAGTGTTCTGATCAACGGTGACTCTGGACACGGCCAAACAATAATTTGAAAAGATATTCCATTCTCAAGCACCCCCATTTCCGAAGTGTTCACATGTTTGACAGTGAAACCCCATACAAGGGTTGGGATGGTGAGTGTTAAATCCTAATTTCTCCCATCTTGGAACTTGAATCTTTGCATCATGTTCCATCATTTTCCACTGTTTTTTTTTTACATCATCAGTGGATCTGTCAGAGTGGCAAGCAGGTTGCTTTCGGATGTGGTGGAAGGCTTTGGTGCCAATCTGCCATTGTTGGTCTTGCCTTATGTCGTTGATTGGATTGCGCCTTGGGACCAGTCGGACCGGTTTTTGGAGGTTTGGCCTGGGTTTCAGTTTCGGCTCTCATGGACTTGTCATGACTTGGCATGTTGGTAATGTATTAATATTCACTTGTATTGAATGGTGGAATCCACAATCTTCCATTTTTTCGAGCTAGCTCACTTGTATGGAATGTGAAATCTAACATTCACTTGCATTCACATATGTCTGATGATTTGTCTATGTCTGAAAAAAGAAAGAACATGAAAGAACTACTCACTTAACATTCAATAGCACCCCAGGGGAAAAACATGATTCAGTCTTGGGTCATCTTGGATCCATGTCATCATATTGTGTCTTCCATGTTGGGGGTCGATAAGGAAAAAATGAGAACACTAATGGAAGGGATTACATCTCTGTGGGCACCTTTTTTTGATATGCATTCTTCTGCGGTCTATCCTGCAGACATGGACTCATTTCCCCTGCTGTTGCGGCTGCGATCGCACGACAGCAATGGTAAATGTGAGGGAACATTTGCCGGAAACCATGGTTGTAATCTCCAAATAGAAGGGTTTCCTGTAGATGCTCATCTAAGATCGCACTGCAAAACCTGTCATGAATCAGGGTTGAAACGGCTCTTCAGTGAGACTCATGGTGCTCAATGGGAAAATTTTAGCCAAGATCTTGCAAGCCATCTGCTTTTTTGGGCTTAACTTAACCCTTGGATCCTCATAGTCACCTCACTGTAGGTGGGAAAGGAAGCAGCTGAAGACTTTGTGGGTTCGGTTGGCATGCTCACCGCCTTGGGTGCTGGAGTGCATATGCTTGTACGTGTTCCTATGAATTTCTTCTGGCGATGGGCAGCCGCACCTTGACTTGGGGGTTGGATTTTGCTAACCCCCTTGACTTTTGGTCATTGCCGGGTGCCATTTTCGGTCCAGATGACATCACAATTTGGGGCCCCTAGCCCTATGTAGCAATCTGTAGCAATGTCGTTTTTGTGTTTAACCGAGGTTGACATTCATACTCAACCAGGTTGTTTTTAAATGTGTTAAGGGAAGATTATATACAATCTGGTTGGTGGTTTGGAACATTTTTCCATATATTATGGAAATCATCATCCCAACTGACGAACTCATATTTTTCAGAGGGGTAGGTATACCACCAACCAGATAATATCATCATAATATATCATCATGATAGTGCTGTTATATCATAATCATAATTAATAATATATAATATTTTATTCATATTTTTCAGAGGGGTTGAAACCACCAACCAGTACTGTACTGTATACATTCAACCCCATAGAATGTGGGAAATCATGGCCTCATACCCCCGGTGCTGCCAAATCCGGCGGATCCTTCCAATTGGAGACAGGGCCACAGTTAGACAACTAGTGATTAACCATGAACAACAGGGATTTGTCATGGATTTTCATTGGTTTTTTCTAGGGATTTACTATGATTTAACGGGATATATGATGATATATGATCGTTTCCCTCTGGTACTTTGTTAGATTGCTATTGAACATGACCATTTTTAGTTTGTTTACAAATTAAACAATAGTGTCCATAGCTCTGTTAGCTTACCAGAGGGTACATGCCAATGTCCCACCACTAGTCATAGGTTAAGCACCGCCAATGACAGACTATGGAATGGTAGCCTCAGCGGCAGGAGCTAGAATCAGCTAGAAGATTGTGATAGTTTTTTCCCCTTTGCACAGTCACAAAGACCCAGTTGTGGAGGTGACTACCGTCCAACAGACCAGTGACAAACACCTCCAGGTTTGTACAGGCTTGCTGGGTGCTTCAAACAATAGTGTGTATCCGTATGTGTTTTTTTACTGTTATGGCATTTGTGTTTTATTCTTGAAAATTAGTGTTATTGTTTTTATTACTGAACCATTGCGTTCATGATTATTGTTATTAGGCTATTATCCACAAACTTCCTATGTTCACACACTTCCCGATGTTGACGCGGATGTCGTACGCCGCGTACGCTGCGTACCGCCCAGGGCCGCTTTGGAAAATATCGGACTTACATGGCCTATGAGTCACTCAACAAGGATCTGGGGAAGCAAAGCACCTACTATCCCATCAAGGATTTGTAAGCAACACCAATAGCATCCAGTAGGGATATAATTTGTGATATTTTCCTTAGGATAACATTAATTGGGATGATGAATGATACTGACCTCGCGTCATGACGTCATTGGAATCATGGTTAGGGGGATTCATCCCCAAATGGCCGCAACTTTCAGCTATGGTCAGGTTAGTGAAGTATTGTCATTCAGCCAGTTTTTATAAACTATATTAAACATCCACATTGTATGTTCCCAAATATGCAGTTTCATCCCCCGATTCACCATGGTTTCTCGGGAGGGTGTCTATTGTGGGGAAGCGATTAGTCTTAGATTTGCTGACAACATTTTTTTTCGCTCTCCTAGTTGTATATGAATCTAGTCTTTTTTTTTGGTTTGGTTGGTGGGGAAGGGGTCGATAGTAAAGTGAAAAAATATAGACGAACCCTCCTAATTATAAAGATTGATATAATTATGTTTCCTGGGGTTCTGCCCTTAAATCAAGTCATATCCAAGGCTTTTGTATGGCTGCCATATGTTCTTGTTCCTCTTTGTCTCGAAAGGCACTGCCCTTCTTGGTACCTTGGCGGCAGGTTTAAGTTTTTTTTTGAAATCCCACCCAGATTTCCCAGATTTTTTGAAATGAATTTGAATCCATATTTGCGGTGACGATCCACAAGTGAAAAATCCTCTTCAAATAAGATGAAACCACCAGAAATAAAGGTTACACTTCCCCAGCATCAAACTGATCATGTTGCCCAGGAGTTATTTTGTGTGGCACCTGGGGTATGGCATATGCAGGCGCATTGCCGCGGCTCAACCATGTCCGATTTGGATGTCTTTAGCCTGTCTAGCTTTAATACCAATCCTGAAGCTGATCCTTGACCTTTTCAGAGCACTGGCAGTTGCGTTCTATACAGTTTGCCCATATCAAATAGCGACAAATTTCAGATTATAGTGTCAATAGATGTCAATAGTGTTTTCACGATCATCATGTAGCACCTAAATAGCACTAATCATCATAGCACTAATCATCATATATATATATACATCATTAAGTAAAATCTATATCATACCCTCTTGTAAACGCTTACATAACTATTGAACATCACAATGTTTAATAGGCAAATCAAGGAACTAAATGGGCCATGTTCAATAGCTATGTTCAATTACCAGAGGGTATGGGATTTTAGAAACATTGGAGGAAACTAGTGCTACCCAATGCTAATCATATCTACCATAGTTGGATCTACTAGGATGTACTTGGGTAGAAACCAATCCTTACCTGGTTGGTGGTTTGAAACATGAATTTTATTTTTCCATTCAGTTGGGAGAGATAATCCCATCTGACTAATATTTTTTAGAAGGGTTGAAACCACCGACCAGTATAATATCATTATATAGCATTTCCTAATGATAGTTATCTGGTTGGTGGTTTGGAACATGGCTTTTATTTCCCATATATTGGGAATAATCATCCCAACTGACGAGCTCATATTTTTCAGAGGGGTAGGCATACCACCAACCAGATAATATATCATCATAATGTCATCATGATAGTGCTATTATATGCTATTATATCATAATTAATAATAATAGTTTATTCATATTTTTTCAGAGGGGTATGCATAGCGGCATACCACCAACCAGATAATATCATCATAATATCATCATGATAGTGCGTTTTTATATCATCATAACATATAATAACTCATCCTAATAGCACTTCCAAATGATAGTTATGTGGCCTCCAAGCATAGCACCTGTGGAGGCCATTGGCTTCTCTATGACCTGGTTTCAGATGTGGCCTCCTGGTGACCGCGGGCTATGGGCCTTGCGGGGCTATGGGGAAAACAAGATCCACCTTGAAAGAGATGGGAAACGACGAATTCATGAGGATTTAAACTACCCTCTGGTAATTTAACATAGCTATTGAAAATTGTGATTTATAGTGGATTTACCCATTGAAAATTGTGATTTTCAATAGCTATGTTAAATTACCAGAGGGTATCATAAACAAACTATCTAAAAGTCCATGTTTGAGGATTGTATCATGATTTAACCATGATTTAACCATGATTTTGAGGATTTTATCATGCTTTAACCGTTTAACCCTGATTTCACCATATGAAATCCATATAAATCCGATGGCTTCGTGGATCAAAGCTGCCGTTCCGCCCACTGCGTTGTGGTCCGAGGCGGACTACGATGAGTTGCTGACGGGGCAACGCCGTGAAGGACAGCTCACGTGCCTTGGTGCGAACCCATAGGATCCATGGTGCTGCCATATATGGTAACATGGATCCCATTGATATACCCCCTTGATGTTAGCATTAATATACCAGCACCATGGATCCGTCATGGGGAATGATAGCGATGGGTAATCGATGGATCATCTTGTCATATATGATCATTAATATGATGATATAGTTAAGTTCTACGGTAACTGTACGTATATATATATATGTATACTTAATTATACATATATATAAGATATTGTAGATGTGATATGATATGATATATATATATATATATGTGTGTGTGTATATATATGTGTGTGTATGTGTGTGTTATTATGGTAGTTGTAGTGACTAATTGTTATAGATGCCCCATGAAACCTGCATTGGGATGTGATATGGCATGCCACTCCTTGGCCACAAAAACTTGAACATTGGGAAACCTCAGAAGTCTTGAGCCCCAGATCGCTAAGGAAGATGACATTTCACACCTCCATGTTTGGTTACTCAGCCATTTCCATCTCCTCTGTTGTACTGTAAGTCAAACAAACAGTAACATAGTCAAACACCCATGTTTACCATGTTTTACCGCTTTGATCCCCAAGGGTCAACATCTCCATGGCTCAACAAGTTTCCAAGTTTTTTTCCAAGTTGCAATAGTGCAACAGCTGATGGCGCTAACATGTGTCAACCAACTGTTCGAATTCTCCGGGACCCCCCGGTCCCCAGGATGGCACGCGAATTGGTGCCAAAGATCTGCGAAATTCCGGCGGACGCCTTGCCGTTTTTGCTCATGGGCTTTCGGGCAGAATTATCCAACCATGATTTTTGCCCATGGGGATCCAACCATTACCAGATGGCATAATTACCCGACCTGGTAAACATACAAAAAACTGATGGGAAAATCCAGCATTTTTGATGGGACACTATTTCTATGGCCATTTTCAATAGCAAACTGTAAACGTTTAGCAGAGGGTATGAATTGATATTAATGGAACATATAGCCAATGATGATTTGGTTTGTTGGTAACATGTTTGAAACGTGTTTGAAACCATCCTACCGGGGATGTTGTTCTGTGGATATCTTTGCTGTAAGCCACCAGGACCACCAGGACCGGACCAAATGGATCCAAGGATAGTCTGGGGCAAGTGTAAGAAGCTCCAGATACCCTGGTGGCTGTGGGTCAAAACCCTGGTGCATTACCCTGGTGAACAGCGAAAAATAGCTGGTAAATGGATGTTCACCCCCCCCAAAATATGTGGTATACACCGGCTGTTGTATTTCTTCGAGGCCTGCGGCCTGAAGGTTTGCTCAGATTTGAAAACTATGCGGCAGACCATCCGAAGCAGATACTGACCTGTGAGGTACCTAAAGTATCCATCCCTAAAAGTGATGCTGAAAAGTCGATCCCAGATGAACCAGCGCATCGGATCCCTTGGCAGGTTACTACGGTTACAATCCCGATTTGTTGGAGCAGAACGAATCCGTGAAGTGGGTCATCAAAGGGTGACTCAGCGATAGCGGCTGCCAGCCTTGCTTTTCAACTCAGGTGAACCACATATTATATATACTATATATCAGCATACACAACCGTATCTCCATGTATAATTATCTTCCTTTTGCCCCTTTCTTCACTTCAAGAATCACCCAGACATTGAAGATTGATATCTATATAAATACATTTAAATACATACATCAAATCATCAACTAGTAAATTCATACACAACTGTATGTTAATCAAGATATTGTCATTACACATACTGTGGATGGAGGAAATCCTGCACCAGTTGATAGGAGGTTTATCCCATTATTTGTAGGGTTTCCACCATCCAAGGTGGTGCAGGATTTCTTCCATCCACAGTATCACATATCAAGAACAGACCTGAATCCAACTGAAAGGACACGTCCACATCTCTACGTGCCTGGCTCAGTCAGGTCTATCTCAGTACTGCCGGGCACTGCAGGCTGGGCTCAGATCCATGTCGGTCAAGCAACCTGGAAAGCCTCAGGGAAGCAGATGTATATCATGCTTAATATGGGTTAATATGGGTTACCCTCTGGTAAACTAACAATAGCTATTGAAAATGGCCATTTATAGTGGATTTACCCATTAAAAATAGTGATTTTCCATAGCTATGTTAGTTCACCAGAGGGTAATATGAGTTAATATGGGTGGATAGTGTTTGATCATGATTTGACTTAGCATGGTTTAATAGCGTTTTTTTATTGAATGGTAAAAATTGGATACTCTCTGGTGAATTGGAACGTAGCGAACTGGAGACTCAGCATTTTCAGTGGTAGAATAGGTAAAACGGTAAATCATCAGAATTCAGCCATAAATGGACCATAGTTTCCATAGATAAAATAACCAGAAAGTAGTAGTTGCTATACTGGGATATCAGCTGATATCAGCTACTGAGTTACTCAACATAGTGTTGGGATGCATTAGGATGGACATAATATGATATCACAAACATGACTCTTCCTGATTGAACATATTATCTTGGGGTAAACTAACATAGATGTGGAGAATTTCTCATTTGTAGATGCATGATGCATTATAGAAAATTGTGATGTTCCGCATCTAGTTTACGATAGTTTACAGGTGGTTGTGTCACGCGCGGAGGTTTGCTCGGCACCTTTGCCCTTTGTTTCTTCACCCTGCGGAAGAAGGACCGAGCCTGGCCAGGGCGCTGCGGTGGACGAAGCGGAGATGATGATGGACCCCAACAAATAAATACAGTATGATTATTAAATATCTAAATGTCTGGAAAGGGGTACTGCAACAGCCTGAGGCGCAGCATTTTTTTTAAATAGTTTAGACATGTTTAGAAGATTTCATCCCTTCCCCTTGTTATCAAATAGCTTCCCAAACAACGAAACCCTACCCCGGTTGAGTATTGGATCAGGGGATTCAGTACTCTTCAACTATTGGGAGTGTTTAAATCCCAAAAACGACCTACCATCTGGTTATTTAACATAGCCATGGAAAATTCCTTATAAATGGAGGTTTTAATGGGAAAATCATCTATAAATGGACCATTTTCCATGGCTATGTTCAATAAAAAGAGGGTATGTTTTTTGTTTTAGCCACTCTTGAGATGAGTCCGCAGCCAGGACCAGCACGAGAAAATCATTCGCCACTCTGACAGAAATGCGTTTGGATGCCAGTTTCGGTATCTTCCATAGACTCGGATTTAGAGTTGTTAGCTGCTGGATTGGCGCATCTTGAGTGTCACTGATTTTCCACAACGGAGACGTGAGCTGAAACTCAAAACACAAAACAACGAAGATGTTGGTCCATACTCCGGGTGCAAATGAGAAGTGTTTGTGTAGATGACACCCCTTTGTAATCTCATTTCAACACTGCTACAATGATCATTTGTAAAACGGGGGACTGGCGCAGGCTAGGGATCAATAGACATGGAAAAACGTGCGGAGTGCGCATCCCCAGCTGCAACAGTCGAGGTGGGCTTCAAAGACATCAAGATGCTTGGATTTGTTTTCTTTCGGGAAAACTGTGGTGAAGGTTAGGTTCATAGATTAGTTATGTCAATTTATTGATGTTTTATATATTTTCTATGTGGTATTGTTTAGCCGAAAATGTTCAAACATGGCAATGCCAAGTACGTATTAATAACCGCCCCCAAAAGGTCTCTCTGCTGGACCGGAGAAGGTCGACCCCCCCAAATAAAGAGCAGAGAGGCAAAAAATTGGATTCATGAGATTTGGAGTGGGATTCATAAGGTTGTCATGTAATTAATTCATGAAGCAAAGCAGAAAGGATCAGCAATATGAGGCCAGATGGACTGAGGGTGTTGATTAAGGGGATACATGCACATTCTTATGGGGGGACAAGCCACCTAAAGGGGTACCTTTTGTGACCTTCTCAAAATGCATTTTTTATAAAGAAAGTAATAAGGAACATGCATTTTCAAAACTTCAAAAAAATGGGATTGTTCTGGATTTGGGGAATTCAGTGAAATGATTGTGCTGAAAAAGTGAACACACACGCGCACACACACACATATATATATATAATGTAAGTTTCAGATTTATTTTTTTTATATATATAATATGTATACATATATGATTATATTCATCAGCTAGCATCAGAAATCATAACATCAGAAACATCAGAGCCAATTCCATTCTCAAGCATCAGAAGCATCAAAAAAAATAAGAATTGTGAGCAGGGTGTTGGTTAATTAGGAGGGAGACACTTGTGCTTATTAATAGGAGGGGTCCAACCCATGTTCAAATTGCCGGAACTTGCTGGCTCTGTGGGTGTTGATTTTAATGATTAATAGGGGGTGGTTTATTAATACTGACTTGACATTATATCAGCCAGAGGTTGGCTGATGGTTTGGATTGGTGCTTCGGCATCCCAGGAGCTTCCCTTTTTTCTTTGGGGGATATGTTATAGGAGAATCATGGGCCGGGGTATTCCCAAGACAAGGGGGAGCACCAACCAATACCACCAGCCAAATTTTGAGAACCAGTGCTTGGGCATAGGATATCATAGGATGTTTTCTCAAGTGTTTTGCTGGGCATCACAGATAAGTCTTGAGATGGCTGTAGTTGTTGGCTGGCTAGACTCGCGAAACATTGCTCACCCCGAAACCTTGTCCCTCCGATGGGGGCATGAGGGCTTCACACACCAATATGGAGAGCCTAAAACCCATCAAGATCAGTCCTTGCCATGGCTGCAGACACCATTCAAACAGCAAAACTCAACACGTTGACTATCTTGGCATCCAGCCTTCCTTGGGTCATATACCCTCTGGTAATTTAACATAGCTATTGAAAATGGCCATTTATAGTGGTTTTTCCCATTAAAAATGGTGATTTTCCATAGCTACGTTAAATTACCAGAGGGTATCATATATTCATTTATATATATATATATATTCATATATCCCCATGATGTCCCTATCGTTAAAACCCATGAATCATGATGGTTCATGCCAGTTAAAGCCCTATGATTCATAGATATATCACCAACTCATCACCCCCATGGCCGGGCCCCACGGCAAGGCCGGCTTGGTGACCACGGATCCCCTGACTGGCTTGCGGCTTCCACCCATCAAGCGTGAAGCGGGAGCTGTGACTGGGGCGCAAGCGGCGCAAGCACTGGCCAAGCGCAATGGGATGCAGTTTGGTTCTGTCCAATATGAGGATGTTAGCATCTCTGGTTGGTGGTTTGGAACATTTGTTGTTCTCCATATATTGGGAATAATCACCCCAACTGACTAATATTGTTCAGAGGGGTTGAAACCACCAACCAGATCTATATGGTAATATATATCGTGCAGCTAACTTAGGATCTTAGGACAATCCTATGAAAATGTGATACTTTGTGAAATTGCACAATGTTTTGTCTTTTGGGTGAAGAGGTGTCCATGGGGAATGTTGCTTTCATGTGGTCCACATAGGTGATTGCAGAAAAAAAACTTCGCCGACCCTTTCAGTGAGGGGAAAACCCACCCGTGTTCGATGTCAAACGGATCCCAGGCAAAGCCCAACCCTTATGAAATGGGTTCAAAAATATCATACCCAGGGTGTATATTTATTATATTACCCACATATATATATAATGTACTATAACCCATATATATGTTACCCAACATGATTGTCCCCCTGTGGTTTCTTCAGCCCTTCCGTGGAATTCGTTGAAGCCGACCGATCGGCACGCCGTTGTCGAGGTGGAATTTGAAGGCTCGACCATTGGTAGCTGCTTGGCTGCTGGGGGATGTCAACGGATGGACATCCCAAGATGACAGTTTTTGGGGCTCGTTCACCTACTCGACCTGGTAAACATACAAAAAACTGATGGGAAAGATCCACCATTTTTAATGGGAAAACTATGGAAAACTCACTATTTCGACTGGGCCATTTTCAATAGCAAACCGTTAAACGTTTAGCAGAGGGTAGCCAATTTAGGGGGGCTAGTTTACGCATGCCTATATCGGGGTTCAAAATGGTTTGGTGATTTCCTTCCGTATATTGAAATTAACGGACAAGTATAGTTAAGGTCCCTGCGAGTACATTTTATATTTTGGGGCCACATTTGGAAACATATGGGTTTGGGGCCGAGTTCTTGGAGGAAACTTGGCACTTTAATTGTCACGTTTTCTATGAACAGGACATTTCATTATCCCCATCCCCTCCTCTTCCTACTATATAATACAACTCGGAAGTGTTTTTTCTGGGGAAAATCAGCAGCAAACCCGAAACAGATGCGGGGCTATTCTCAGAGTGGTTAAATCCTGCAGGTGTTCGCTTAAGGCTCAAACGAATCCAATGATACTAGTATAACCAATTCTTCACCTTTATATATCAACCATTATGACACATTACTAACCAATATTAACCATTACAAACCACTACTGACGATTATTAAGAATCATCAACCATTAATCATTCATAACCATATTGTTTCATCAACCATTATTAATCATCAACCACTACATTAATCATCAACCATTATTAACCCATAGGTTTCTTTGCCGCAGGAGACCAAGTGATTCTGCTGGACCATTTCTTCGCCTCAGAGGTAAGCTGGGCTCACCACTCAGGTGCGATGGTGCACTTGGGGATCAGTCATGGGTTCATATGGGTCAATATCACCACATATATATATATACCAATATAGGTTAATATAGGTTATATAATATAGGTTAATATATGTTAATATATGTTCAAATGTGTTCATATATGTTTATACTTATATGTATATATAGGTCAATCAATGGTTAATATGAGTCAATATGGGTAAATTATAACGACCTCACTGCGACCGAACCCTGGATTCGTGGTTAATAAGGGAAATCATCCCCAAATGGTCTTATTTCAGGTTAGTGAAATATTGTAATTTTCCCAGACTAATATAAATTAATATAGGTTATATAATATATGTTAATATATGTTCAAATATGTTAACATATGTTCATACATGTTTATATATGTTAGTGTATGTTAATATATTTTGATATATGTCAATCAATGGTTAATATGGGTTAATAATTGTTAAAATTGATTGATCATAGGTAATATTGGGTTAAACATGCTGCACAATGATCATCCTGTACAATCCTCTGGATAGAGCCACACAAGCATAGTTGGGGTTGATAATAATGGTTAAATATGTTAAACATGGGTTAATTTTCGGTTAATATGGGTTAATAATAATTAACAATGGTTCTCAATGGTCATCAATGGTCATGAATGATTATACCTTTTTTTTTTGAAGTTAAGCATGGGATTCTAACCTCCATGAGTTGGGGTATCACCACAATAGCTCTGGCACTATGGTCCATTGGCTACCCTACTCCTAGGTTTGCTGAAGGTGATCTCGGTTTTACCGGGAAATCCCTCGTTTTCTGGGGATGCTGAAGCAAAATCCCAGACTTGGTAGCTGATTATCTGGGAATTGATCAAAGCCTATTGTACCATATTTGGGTGGAAAGGACATTCATTTTCCAACTATTTTGGGGTTCAACATGGTGCCGAGGTTTTGACCCATGGCCACTTTAATTTGGTTGCATGATGTTGCAGATGCATTTAGAGGTCAGTGTTGTTCATTTGTAGATATAGCGGGGGTTGCCAGCCCCGTGCTACAAAGGATGAATCAGAAATTGAAGTTGGCATGTGAACGACAGTATATGCTACCCATAGATGAATATAATTACAGGATATTACAGGTACCATGATTCTTTACAAGGTGGGGCCCCCCAGTTATAAGATGGTTTATAAACCCCATTAACTATAGTTATAGGTACCATAAACCATAGCTATTGGAGTTATAAACCAACTTAGCTATCTAGGGGGCCCCACTTTGTAGGATTAGTCAGGATGTAAGATGGGATATGTGGGGTCAACAAGTTGGTGGCTCCTTCTGTCTGTGAATTTTCGAGACAACATGCGGCGAGGCGTGCATTTTTGAAGTGCCCAACACTGCACTATCACTTTGATAAAATTTGATATGTAGCCATGATATGGATCCAATGGTTTTCAAATCAGGGATATCATAAAATGTAGCCATATCATAAAAAAAGGGATCCAATGGTTTTCAAATTTCAAGATCTTCAACGAAGTCGCCTTCCCCGGTGTGGTGGCTTCGCTGCTTCGCTATGCTTCGCTTCCCTCGACCCTTGGGACCTTTCCTACGGCAGCCGTAGGAGACTTGGGGAAGCTGAAGGTGAAGCCGGTGATCTTTCTGGTGCTGTCGCTGCTCTTAGGCATCCCTGGCTTTTGGTTCACCCTTGAAGGCCTGGACTGGGACAGACTGGGACATGTGACGACGATGCTTTGAACTGCGCCAACAGAAATGATTCTTCATTGTAATGTTATAAATATGTAACATAATATGTATATATATATATATATATGTGAGTGTGTGTGTGTGCGTAGAGATCTGTGACATAAATTTTGTGTCATACTGATGAGAGGGTTGTTCATGCAATGCCATGTCAGAGATTGGATTTATGACTTGCCATGACTTGCCTACCTCGAACGTTGATGATATGATAGTAATTTGCACGGCGCTTGGATTCAGCTTATAGACATTTATATACATTTATAATGATGATATCTATAGTAATACTGTATAATAACATATTATTATTATATATATATGTACATATATGTACATATGTATATTGTATATAGGCCTTAGTTTGGAAATTTGTTTATTTTGTGTCAATGCCAGCATGGCCATGAACGTCTCACCTTTGGGCAACATCAGGGCCATGCTGACATGCTGAGAGTGAAAAAATCTCTGGGTGTTTGTGTGTTTTTCTTATAATGGAACATGGTTTTTATTGGGCAGTGCGTTATTATGGAAATGATATGATAATGATTATAATGGAACATGTTTTTTATTGGGCAGTGCCTTATTATGGATATGATATGATAATGATTACAATGGAACATGGTTTTTATTGGGCAGTGCTTTATTATGGATATGCTATACTATATACAATATACACATCCTTTTATTGATATCCAAGGTTTGTTTAGTGATTTGAATATCGCCCTGCAGTGAAGAAGCAAGAAGCAGATGATGTAAGTGTAATACCAACAGTACTCAACCATACTTTAGCCAAAAGGTCATCATTGGATTGGATGTTCCATTTGAGTAGTTATTTTCCATGTGTATCATAACCATCCATAACCCCTTTATATTGTATAATAGTTGTGTCAAAGTAGCCCGTAAAGATACATACATAAACTGTGTAGATCAAAATCACGTTCATTGTAATTATTCCATATTACCAAGCCAACCCACTTATCATGTATATTTACATAATTTATATAGTAATATAGTATATATCGGCATGTTTGATTCAGTCAGGCACTTGGCCCTTTCCAAATGCAGTCCATTGCAAAGTTAATGGTTTTTAGAGGCCTGTTGACACAATGATAACTTATGAAACGATTACATCTTCTAATGTGCAACGAGGTGACAGCTTCTATGAATCACACACTTTCTCTTGAATCGTCGGAACTTCTCTGGAACCGTGTATATATATAGTGTTTGTTAAATGTTGATAACAGATGGTATCAAACATGACAAGACCGTATAAACAAGACTTGAATGGACATGTATACTATATATATATACATTGCATACATATATACAATATTTCATATTTATTTAATGTGTCCAACATATATATATATATATACATATACATATATATATATAGATAGATAGATACATATATATATATATAAACATTGTCCAACTTATCTCTGTGCGAGCGAGTCGGTGCAGGATGGGCCAGCCTCAGCGAGGGTCATAGCTCCATAGCTCCCGTTGGTATCATCCTGCAACTCGATCCGGAGGGGCCACATCATGGCTTTGCCATAGCGGTACGTGTTTAGTATATGACATATAATTATGTGACATATCAACCCCTGTGATATTTATATAGTATGTATACGCTATATATATATAGTATATATAGATACACACTGTATATATATATATATTTATTTACATATATATATATATACATTGCATATTATATATATTATGTATATATATATATATATATTATAAAATGCAGAAGTACAGAAATGCTCCAGATTCAGTGGTCAAAACGTCTCTTTGGGTGACCGGTCGTCGAGGATCGGTTTCGCGGCCATCGGCTTCCTTTTCAGCTTGGCCCGGCTCCGCCAAGCGCTGCGGGCGCCAAGGATCATTTCGAAGAAAGATTTGGAGGCCTCACTGGGACGGATTTGGAGTTGAACCATCAAAGATGTGGGGGTTTAACATGGTTTAACATGGTTTAACATGGTTTAACCATGTTTAACCATTAAACAATGATGCACAGAAATGGTGGTTGAATGGGAATCTAAAGCGATTTGTGAATGTTCAATTAGTTGAGCATAGCCTACGGACTTTAAATGGGCCTTTTAATTGAAACATCATCCATAAATCGGAGGTTAGTTCAATGTGACTGTTGTTAGTAGTTGTCAATTCGGCGTTTAGAGTCCTAAGAATTGTGGAATCAACTCGGATTATTGGCTGGGATGTGCCCCCCAATAGAAGGACTTTGGATAGGGGTTATCAACCCCCAGCCGCCCCGACGCTCACCTGTCACCGGCTCCCACGACGACTGTATGACTTAAGGCCACTGGGGTGTGGTAAATTTTTGGAAGCCAATTGTGATACAAACATAAACACAAATTGGAGTTTTAGAGCAAGAAATGAAGGGCTCTACCAAACATGAGTGGGGTGTCGCCGTCCCAATTTGCCATCAGGCAAACCATCGTTTATGGGCCATCTATATTCCCGTCAAAATTTGAGTATAGTGTATCCGCCACACTGGCTGGTTAAACAACATACTTTTCAAATTACACCAACGTTGTTGCTTTGAGACTCATTCATTCATGTATCCATCTCGAGCTTGGACGATTTTCTCCCCAAGGACTGTCATATAGGTCAAGAACATTCGAGAACTCTAGATTAATTCCACTTCCTGTGGCTTTTTCAACATCTACCAGCTATTTCAGCAGCTATTTTCATGTGCACCGGGGGGGGATTCCAATGGGTTTTCAGCAGCTGTCGGTGTAGGTCATGGTGGCGATTCACCAATCACGGGGGCGGATTCCAGGCAGAGCAGACAGTGATGGTCCAAGAGGGTCAACCTTGGTTAGATCATGTTATTTTGGTTAGATACTTTATTTGAAAAAATACCAAGTTAATTTCGCCCCCCCTTTATTTTCATATTTATGTAGTACTGTATTTTTTTGGCTGATATAATATATAAACGGTAAAATTGGTCCTGAAGAGCCAAAAGAAAAATCCAATGACAGGTATCTAAGATTCACCATGGTCCAAAAATAGTTTTTCAATGGGATTATTTCTCTTGCAACTCAGGTTGTATATCATAGGCCGCTTTTTGAACTGTTAAAAATGGGGCTATAACTGTAGAGTTGAAGTTGATTTCTCGTGGGTTTGTTGGAGAGATGTTCACCCTCTATGGGAAATCCCAAGAATATACTGCCATTGCTACTCAAACACTGCCCAAATTTCCTACCAATATGAATGCACATATGAATGGCATGATCACTGACATGGGATGATCACCATGAATTATGGGAAATCCCAATAAAACAGAGCAGTATCAAGGGGTTGCCGGGCTTCGGGCGCGGCTCACTTGGGCATCCCCTTCCCATTTTGGCCAGGGATCAGATGAACTTTGTGTGTACAACAATGGAACACCGTGCTTGAAAAAATAGATTGGTGAAGAAGTCACGGGTAGTTTAATGGTATAGATAGATAGATAGATAGATTGATTGATAGATCGATAGATAGATAGATAGATAGGTAGATAGATAGGTAGGTAGATAGGTAGATAGGTAGATAGGTAGATAGGTAGATAGGTAGATAGGTAGATAGGTAGATAGTTAGATAGGTAGATAGGTAGAAAGGCAGATAGGCAGATAGGTAGATAGATCGATAGATCGATAGATCGATAGATATAGATCGATAGATATAGATCGATAGATATATAGATCGATAGAGATATAGATCGATAGATATATATCGATAGATATAGATCGATAGATATAGATCGATAGATATAGATCGATAAATCGATAGATCGATAGATGGATAGGTAGGTAGGTAGGTAGACAGGTAGACAGGTAGATACAGCGCGAGTGTTATATAAGAATGTTGGTTGCCGATGGTCCCTCAATTTCTTATCGGAATGGCCCCATGTATGCCAGTATATATGTAACGTATAATATGTACAATTATTCGGTCGAGGTTCCCTTAATTTCAAAGCAAGTTCTTAATGTAGTATTTCACAAGCAGTCAGATTTGAAGATGTAAGAGCGGGGTTGCCTCTGCGCAGCTCCTTTCGTGAGTTTGACTCCGCCATCCTTGCGCCGATTCCCAGTGGCTCCTGGGCACAAAGGAACAGTTACCCAGTCTCCTCTACAGAAAGCTCTTACAAACCCTTACATGATTAAGAAATTGAGGGGCTGGATTTCTTAGTTATGTATTGAGTTGAATCCTTACCCGGTGACGTCTCCTCTACGACCCTTAAGGGTTCAGTTCAATACATAACTAAGAAATCCAGCCCCTCAATTTCTTAACCATGCACCGGTGGCGACAAGGCAGCACAGGCAAGGCAAGGCAAGGCAACCCAAGGCAACACGAGCCAAGGGCGCAGATGACCTACAGTGAGTCTGGCTGGTGTCTGGCTGAAGCTGTTGTGAGCAAGCTTGGTAACAGTGTAGTGCTTCAACTCTGGGGCGGTCCTGCCCCCTCGCTTGTCATTCCCAACCATGCCATGGTTGTGCAAGGTTCATTTTGGCGGGTATTTGGTTGCAAGGGAGGCTGGCCCCATTTCCCGTTCCAAATAGAATCTTGATAAACCCTTTCATGGCTAAGAAAATTGAGCAGGGGCGCAAAGGGCTCCTCCACATACATATAAACTTCTTAGCCTTTAAAATTCCCCAGGGTCCCTCAATTTCTTAACTTCCATTTTATATATATATATATACATATTCCATAAAACATATATGCGGCAAAAAAATCCAGCCCCTCATTTTCTTATGCAAGGAATTCTTATACAGTGCTTGGACTGTAGCTAGATGGATAGATAGATAGATAGATGGATAGATAGATAGCTAGCTAGCTAGCTAGGTAGATAGGTAGATAGGTAGATAGGTAGATGGATAAGTAGATAGGTAGATAGGTAGATAGGTAGATAGATAGGTAGGTAGGTAGATAGATAGATAGACAAATAGATAAATAAATAGATAGATACATACATACATACATAGATAGACCGATAGCTAGATAGGTAGGTAGGTAGGTAGATAGGTAGATAGGTAGATGGGGAGATAGGTAGACAGGTAGAAAGCTAGACAGGTTGACAGGTAGACAGGTAGATAGATAGAGAGATAGATAGATAGATAGATAGAAAGATAGATAGATAGATAAATAGAAAGATAAACAGATAGTTAGATAGATAGATAGATAGAGAGATAGATAGATAGGTAGGTAGGTAGGTAGATAGGTAGATAGGTAGATAGGTAGATAGGTAGATAGGTAGATAGGTAGATAGGTAGATAGGTAGATAGGTAGATAGGTAGATAGGTAGATAGGTAGATAGGTAGATAGGTAGATAGATAGATAGATAGGTAGATAGGTAGATAAGGTAGATAGGTAGATAGGTAGATAGGTAGATAGGTAGATAGGTAGGTAGGTAGATAGGTAGGTAGGTAGATAGGTAGATAGGTAGGTAGCTAGCTAGATATTCAGAAATGGAGGCAATGGAAGCAATGGAAGAAACCGAACTATCCCCTACATGTTGTTCAACTATCCCTACTCATTATTCCCTTGGATAAAATGATCAAAGACGTCGAGTCCCTGGCACCAGGCGGCATCAAGGCACTTGATGAGGATCAAGCGCCGCAACCGACCACCAAGGTGTGCCGATGCGGTTGAAGCACGGTTTGAGCCACGAAATGGAGGATTGACCCATGAAATATGGAGGATATCTTGGTGCGAGTCCTCTGAAATGGGCGGATGTAGGGCCCCAAATTTCTGTGGACACACATGGCTTCACTGTGACATCACGGGAATTATCAGTAAAGGGGATCACCCCCAAATGGCTGTAATTCAGGTATGTTCACTTTAGTGAATCATGAAAATTCCGTCAGAATGTTTGTTGATTTGTAGTGTGCTGCGTGCCCAATGACTTTACCGTGGTATTGTTATCTTAGGATATCTTAGGTCTACGGCTATTATGGATTATTCTTGATCAATTCCTAAGATGTTTCAGTACCCATGACTCATTGACCTGCACTTTTTCATGGAGTTGACCGCACCACGGTGATTTGCTTCCGGGCGATGGGATGCGGAGCTGTTTGGCTCAGGTGGCCCTGCCAGAAACAACTTCGGTGGCTGCCAATGTGGTGGAGAAGCCAACAATTCACGTCCCCGTCACAGAGTCCGAGGGGCCAAAGAGCACAAAGGCGAGTTTGTGACGGCGCTCTCTGGGATTCTGTGGGCCTTTTTCGGCAAAAATGGCTGCTTGGTCTGTGCATGTTTGGTGCATAAGACATTTTTTAGTGTCAATCGTGCTACCAACGCAATCAGATAGGAATTTGATGGAAGTTGCTGGTTATTTCAATGAAACCCCACCTGGCACTGAGGTTTTTGTTTGGATCTTGCCTATCTTCAAATGAAGATGCACAAGATTCGATCTCCAAAAAATGTAAGCGCTGGACTGGGGCCCAATGAAGAGCCTATGTCCGCGTTGAAGATGTGGGTGTATCTATGGCCAGAGGCCTTTGACCGTATTTAATCAGTCTGCATGTCAACACCATGATTCTAAGGATGGGCGCGGAGGATCAGCCCAGTCTTTAAGAGTTTAAACATGTTTTTTCCAACCAGCAAACTGTACAGCTAAAGACGCTTTAAAGAGCGGACGTTCAGCCGACCGAACTGTGTTGGAAGTTTGATGCTAGTTTCATGATGCTATACTGGCTATACTGTCAACCGATGTTGATGTACCAAAATGACGAGGGATGTTCGGCCCCCCACTTAAATATTGTTTATACCCAACCTCGTTGGAATACCTCACTCAGATTCTGATCACTCATGTCATGATAATCATCTAGTGGTTTGGTCGGCTAACGATAATGGATCGCTTTGATTTGCAACCACGACGTTGAGATATAGATATGATATGTATATATATAATGTATATCACAAACCATGAGAGTGTGAGAAGCAGCAAAGAGCAATGTTGATTAGTTTGCATGAGTTGGTAGAGGTGCCATACTAAGACAAAGAAACAACAATTAATTTCGTTGCTTTGTGATGAACAATGTGCATTAAGTTGGCCCATTATGAGGAACCCCCATCAACAAACCAATATACAGCGATGAAAGCGATGTCGATAGGGGACGCCCAGAGATACATCCGCTCGGTGATGTTCTTTGCAGTACCCTGTTGCGACACCATGTCGTTGGACAGGGTCATCCAAGTTGTTTTTTTTGTTTGTTTGTTCCAGTCGCTGTAATTTCTGTTATTTTCTGTTAGGCTGCTCACTTGCGACACGGCGAGCAGAAGCGTCCAATGATTAGGGACAAGTATAATGGCCTTTACACAAAAGAGATAAAAAAAATATATTGGCATTGCATTTGAAGGATGGTGAAAAGGTTTTTTAATCATCCCATGATCATCCCTTCAAGCAGAGTGCAGCCTTTGAGGGTCAGGAAATCCTGTTCCCAGCGGGATGGCTCATCACCAAGTGATTTAAGTCACGCCACCGCCAACTCGGACAACACGAATGTGTTCCACATATGAACAGGATACACTGCGGATACACCTTGGTTTGGTAGTTTCGTAATGTTTCATAGATTCGTTCTTCGTTTCGATTGGGGGAACTGTTCAAAAAGTAGCTGAAAGAGCTCTGCAGTATTAGCCAAGACTAGCCAACATTAAGTTCAACATTAGGGATCCTGAATGCTTTTTTCCTTAGGGTGTTCTACACCACTAAATGGTGTGGTCGAAATTGAAGGTGGATAGCTGGGATCGGTCATGATATGTCACACTCCCTGCGGGTGTCTAGCGTAGCAGGGTACCTACACCCTGAAATCAAAGATGAGAGACTCCGAAACGGCTATAGTTCTATAGTTCTATAGTGGAAAACTCATCTTCCGACTCCATGTTTCTGGTGCAACGCTGAAAAAGTTAATAATGTACGTCCTATAGTTCACAATAGCCTGCAGAAAGATAGAAAAGGTTTGTTTTATCACAGTTGTAGTAGAAGTTGACTTTTCTATCGTGTTGCCAGTTGCTACATTCTATGGGTCATTCGCCAACGCTTCGTGCCATCCTCCTGGCAGTTCTAAGCCGGGAAAAATCCAGCGGCAGAAAGGAGGTGGAAGCGTAGTGTTGTCATGTTAGACTGTTAGACCAAGAGAGATATGGATTGATGAAACCCAGTTAAGCACTGATATACAATGATAGATATACTCTCTATCAGTTTAATTCTGTGAAATATTATGTAGTGGATTAGTGGTCAACTGGGGATTTACATGATGCAGGCTACAATTTTCTTATATATATATATGATATAACTTCCAGTAACTCATTAACCTCCTATTTTCACCACCCCCATTGCACCAAGTTGGATGCCCTGTGCTGTGCCACTGGTACGCTTGCTGACGTCGGGGTCCCCGACGATGAAACTGTGCAATGTAACTGCTAGATGTTTCTTTAAAGGTAGCTGCCACTGTGTATATACGGTTTTTGTATCACATATCAGCTGTGTGGGGATAGGTGTTAAGAAAATGCAAATGAAACGTGGCGTTGATGTTTTGAAGGATGCCACATTTGGCAAACAATGATGTGTTTATCGTAGTGATATTCACATGTTTTCGCTGCCTCTAGTATGCTTGGGATGTTGGGTGATACTGTTAAAGAGAGCTGAAACCATCAATGTGCTGCTGCCAACCATTGAACTACGTCCAAATCCTGAAGACAGGATTTGTTGGAAAGAAACTAAGACACACAACCTTTTTGCCACACCATTGTCCTTGGCTGATAGCTCAAAATATCCCACCCGTTAATTCTCCGGACACATCCCGACAAAAAAGCAGCGCTTGACTCTTCCAGGCTGGGGGGCAATTTGTTGCCATCCTGAAGCGGAAACAGATTTGCAGCTTCATAGAATGTGTGGTGTTCCCGCTGTATGGATTGTACAGTGTGTTTCTGGGTGTTTCTGATAGATATTCCAAATTGCTTCGACCCAAGTTGTATAAGTTGGTTGCAATCATGTCACCTTATCCCTTCATGGGAAAAATATAGACAAATTCTTGTGCCATTTCTGGTTTCGATGTCCGGCTTGATTTGTTGCCCGGCCGTGGGTCACAAAGGTGGTCCAGCAGCGAGGAAGAAGCCAAAGTGCACCGTCGGCAGCTGACTGAGGAGGAGATCGATGTTGTCCCAACCTCGACGGGGGACACTTTTTTAGTGGAATAAACATGAATAACTGGTTGGTGGTTTGGAACATTTTTCATGTTCCATAATATATATTAATATATGGGATAATATGGGATAATATGGGATGTCATCCTTCCCATTGACTAATATTTTTCAAGATGGTTAAAACCACCAACCAGAACATGTATCCTAAATTGAAAATAGTATAATTGAGGAGAGAGATTCAAGATTGATCATTTTGGTGGGGTTGACAATTTTTCAACATATAATTATTGGATATTATTGGGTTTCGTATTGGGTTTGCCACTTCGAAGTAGGATATGTTGTGTGATGATCGTGATTCCAGGTTTAAAGATTGAAGGAATTGGAACACATTGCATTGGTAAATTCAGTGGTTTATTGACCCGAGATTGAGTAGATCTAATATAGTAAACAAACAGCATGAGCCAGGTGAAAGCACGGCTATAATCGGCTATATATATATATATACATTATATATATAATGTATATATATATATACTATACATAATATATATATATATATTTCACACACACATACACACGTGTACTTATATATAGATATATATACATATATATGATTCACACACACATATACTTATATATATATATTATTGACACACACACATGTACTTATATATATATATGTATTACACACACATATACTTACATATATATATATATTATTTACACACACATGTACATATATATATATATATACATTATTTTCACACACATGTACTTATATATATATATGTATATATATATATATATATGTTATTTACACACACATGTACTTATATATTTTTAATTGTATATATATATATATATTATGTAATGTAATTGACACAGCCTACAAATCAACAAGAAAATTTGGATCCTTGGTTGGAAACTGGAGTATTGGGGCCATGAGTCCTTAGAGCTCATAGGATACCTGGTGGCCAGGACGACGCCTTTCGTCTTTGGGATTCAGTGGGGGCTCCTCAGCGACGTCACTGGGGAATATCCATGGGCCATGGTGGATGCTAATGGCAGTGGAAGTGTCAAGCTGCTCCCGTCCATTCTGATGTTGTCAATCTGAAATGTCTCATCGGTTTCCAAATGGAAACCCATGATTGTGGGCCACCCCAATTTTCAGAAACACCTACCTGTTTGGAAATTTAGTCTGGTTGGTGGTTTCCAACATTTTTATACATTTTTTATTTTCAAACATTTTTTATTTTCAACTGACTTTCATATTTTTTCAGAGGGGTAGGTATACCACCAACCAGTCGTGGTTCTTTCCCCTTTCTTCCGGACCCACCAGCACCACGGCTATCACGGCTGATCTTCATCGCAACGAGCTTGCAGATTCGAGAGCATTGCCGCTGGGGACACACGTATCGCCAACCTGGTCCATTTCAGTGCCCCACATGGCCGCAACGTTGGGCATAGTGCGCAGAGGCCAGATGACCAGAACCAGTAAGAAGACACGGTGCATGTAGAGAAGCTTAAAACGAACCAAAGTTACGTTTCGATCAGTTCCCTGTTTCCAAAGATGCCTTCGCATGATCATCATGAAGCTGATCTAGATGGTGGAATATTCGCCAAATTTCTGGATGTTTGAGACTGAAAATCTGGGCTTAAAAAATGGTCCACACTCTATTCCAATCAAACTCAGATCGGATCAAACCTTGTTACCTACATTCTTAGATGTGCATCCCAGTAAGTGGTTAGTAACCAAGGCATACCTATACCCAGTGCAGTGGGTGGGTTATACATGTCTAACACATATGGGTTATATGTTAGCCTTATCCGGGATTCCCGTCAGGTACTGGGGCGAACCCGCCAGCAAGCCTCCGCCCGGGTCCCGGGAAGATGACTTGATGACTGGCGGTGGTTGGCTGATGACGAGCTATGGAAAAACCATGATCACCTACCCTCTGGTGAACTAACATAGCAATGGAAAATGGCTATTTATAGTGGATTTTCCCATTAAAAATGGTGATTTTCCATTGCTATGTTAGTTCACCAGAGGGTACCCTTTTTAGAAGGTAAATCGTTTAATTATTTCCATGGGCCATGGTATGTATATTAATGTAAAGCTAATAAACATCGCTATGTTAGACCAATAACACGGGAATTTGCCAGTTCTAGTGCTGTGGGTTTTTTAGCATCCCCCGGCCACATGGGTCGGACCAGAAACCGAGTCGTATCACTTTGCGCCGGGTCACCCTTCAGACTCCCCAAAAATGCCCCGTTTGGGTAACATAGCTATGGAAAATCACCATTTTTAATGGGGGGAATATCTCAAATTTGAATTTCTAGCGTTTACCCCCTCTGGTAA